CCCTTCTGGAATGGTTTCCCAAGTTGCAGAACATCAACGGTACCCAACTTCGCACCCCGGAACAGATTGCTGAGCAGGAGGCTGCCCTCAGGCCTAAGCCAATTCCCCAGAACGGTCCCGATTTTAGGGACGTCGGCGGTATTGGCGAAAACTTCCTCTTGGAATTTTTCGCGGCATATGATAGCGACCGACCTGGCCTTGCGTCAAGGTTGTACGACGAAGACAGTCGATTTTCTATATCGGTTGACACACGAGCTGCCCCAGATCCCAACGCTGCTGCACCTATGTCTTGGGCTTCGTATATCAAGCTATCACGGAATTTGACTAAAATCACCATGCCGAACCCTCGCATACAACGACTCTTCCGTGGCACTGCTAGCATTCAGGATGCTTGGAAGACGCTTCCCCCTACTCGACACCCCGATATCAAAGTGGAAATCAATAAGTACATCATGGATTGCCATCCATTGCAGGGACTTGTCGACCCCAGTGGCCAGAGCTTCGGAGGCGTCGATGGCTTGATAGTTGCAGTGCACGGTGAATTCGAGGAACAGGACCCTAGTACCAATGCCACGGGAAAGCGAAGCTTTTCCCGTACGTTCGTCCTTGGACCCGCAAAGCCAGGGCAAGGGGTTATCCGAGTCGTTAGCGACATGCTGTCGCTTCGAACATACAGTTTACTCCCCAACGTGTTCGCAGCGCCTGCCTCGGCTCCTACTACAGCATCAGCCGATCAGCACCAAGCAATGATCACCGAGTTATGCAAGCAAACGGGCATGACACCCCAGTACTCCGAGATGTGTCTTACCCAAGTGAATTGGGAATTCGATCAGGCTTTGGTGATATTTAACGAGAAGAAGGTATGTGGTCTCATTTGTCATGATAAAGGGTACAGTAGTCTAACAGATTCCAGTCACAACTTCCAGCTGATGCTTTTGCTACGTTGGTTGGCTCATAGGATGGCTGGCCCAGTATCGAGGCTGTGGGCCCAACTACGCCAGGACGATATGGAAACACCCAGTGTGTTTAGGGCTCTCACGGGATTGAGGGAAGGATGAACAATTATATCAAAAGGTGTGGGTAGTAACTTAGATTAACAGCGATGGTTTGCAGCACTGTTGGAGTTTATTGGTCCTTGTGGATATTTGCATCATAAATGGTTAGAGGCGATACTATTTGAGATTCGGATCCAGGAAGACATCAGGGTTTGGTGACGAAAGGCAGGCAGTTTGCATAAATTATAATGAAATACCGTCACAGAATGAAAAGACGTAAAAATGCCATATGTTTCCCTTTGCCTAACCCTCAACTATATCACTAATAGGTTGTAACCCGTTCGGAATTGTATCGTAGGTCAGGTTTGAACTGCAATCGTATTCCGGTACCTGACAAATGTCACTCCTACTCACGTTTGTACATATGGAAGTGTGTCTGAGAATTTAATTTACGCACCTGGTCAAACAGGTCACGGAAGATCAAGCGAGGAAAAAAATAAAACTCTTACAATGACGACGTCTGCTGCATACAAATACCACAAGAGCCTCACACTACATTTATTTAGATTGGTTAGATAAGTCCTGCAAACCGATTAAAATACAGATAATATATCCACATTGGCAAACTACTATAGTTATTTACATTTATTTTTATATGTGGTACAGGGTAACATCGATCCATATAGACGCCAATAGTTACATGAGTATTGGTTTCAGGTGGCTATTATTCAATGAAATCATATCTGAGTTAATCGCATTCCTTTATTGCTTATTCAATGGGAATAGGAACCACCACCAGTGAGAGACTTCCCAATCAATGTCGCTGATTGTCTAGAATTCGCTGATTGCTATTGTTGGTGGCTAGAAGATTCAACGGTTTCGTTGCTATGATCCCTTTTATATATTTCGCCCCACGGGAATATTTCGCCCCACGGGAATATTTCGCCCCACGGGAATATTCGCCATGTTCATTCCCACGAGGTAGTTAAGGCGACGACCTACTATTTTCGCGGAGTAGCATGCACATATTCGAACAGGAAGTTATTGCTGGCTACTCTACGTAAAGAAGGGCATCGATGGAACGGTAGCCCTCACCTCTAACTACCTAGGTACCTGGCTTTATTAGTTATAGATGCAGGGCGATTCTATGAATAGGTCGGTAACACGAGGAAACATCCCAACTTGGGGTAAAGAAGTAATGGTATGCCATTTAAAGGGAAAAAAATGGAAGACAGAACTCGCGTGACTGCATGTTTTGACGATCAAATATGTATACAATATCACGCCGAAGATAAGTCAACCCTTCCATTACATCACACCATCTTACTTAACGAGCAGCCCGAATATCCGATGAGCTGGTAGAAGTGGGCCTGTCATCTGCTCTATTGGTTTATTTCGTGACCAGGCAAACAGCCAATAGGTAGGTAGCGAGGGAGTTAGTAGGAGATGGGTGTTAGCGAGCGCAAGGCGTATTTACGTAGTATATATTTCAATGTCTGAGATAGACCATTGGCTCAATCCAATGACATGCAGGTCCATCCCATTAAGATGAACCGAGATCACGTACTTACATACTCCGTATGTATTAGAAGAAATCGTCGTCATGGTTGTTGATAGGACAATTAGCATCGACAAGGGACTCAACACTGGCCGATTCGTTTTATCCCATTATTCAATTAAGCTGACACATGTTCATACGCGGCTTCTGTCAAGACTATTCGTGCTGAAAATTGCACACGAGAGAAAATACCTATGCAGGTTCATGTGAGCAATTCGAGAAGGGCAGGTGAGAAGAATTCAAGCTCTTATTAGCCTCGATAGGGACCAGGGGCCTCAGGTTGGGCGCGCAATGGCGCGTTTCATATCGAGACTTGTGGATTTAGCCCAGGACCCGAGTGAGCATTTACTGCAACAATTGGAGGGATGCTGGTTCGAACCGTCGAAGCACATGTCCAATCAATGGGCGAGTTTGTCCGAGTCACTACGTAGAGAGTTTTTCCAGGTCAGGCTGGGCAGGGCCAATACTCTCAATCTCAACTGCCCCGGCCCAACCAGTGTGGTATTTTGGTTGTTAGTACTCCGTAGATGGCAAACACAGTAATATATGTGAAGCACGGTACGAAATAACGCAAATGCGTAGCTACTATAGTGCAAGGACCGAGGCGTGTCGGGTTGTGGGGGATTGTGTGAGAAAGGAACGAAGCGAGACACAAACATGTACACAACCCAAGCACCTATAAAACACGAGATTTAATGGGAATTGTCGTATTTGCTCGTCTCTGCATGTGCCGTATCAGGTACGCCTTGGCGGGTTTGCTACAGATATCCATTGCATTGCTGCCATGTGTGTCTTATGTAAGCCTGCAGATTGTTATGAAAATGTGATACCGGAAATGCCATGCCAGCGACGTTCTTCCATAATGTGGCATTGATGTTGATAATTGGCAATACTTAACGTTTATATAATACCCCAAACCTATAACGTCTTCGCTTGACTGACAAAGTGACGAACTTGTGAGCTTCAAGTGGTTGCCCCTATTTTAATCTCTTCAAGCCCAGGGTAGATGCACGGGCCGTGCGCCTCTTTTTAGAACAGAGCTCGCAGTACCCCTGATTTCGAGTGGAGGTCTTGCCGTGGTATTGCTGCCCTGTAACATTTTACGATGTCCACAAGGGCTCTGAAATGGACATTCCATGCCACCAATGGTAGGTTGCATTGGCTGCGAGGAGCCCCTGCCACTGGGCGTCAGGAAGCGTTTGGTAAGAGTAGCATCAACCAATAAGAGACCTTAACCCCTGGGCGGGAAGACCAGCCTCTTGTAGAGAGAGGGAGGGACCCGCTGTACCTGCAGTTACTGGATTCTGTATGGATCGTCGTTGGCTGGCACCAGCATCTCACTTCTGGTCTCAACTCCGCCACTGCCCAAGCTCACGATAACAGTAGAGATTCACAGCAAATCACAACTTGGGATCAGCAATTGCCGAATCACAGACAGATTAGCACACCCTAGAAATGCACCGAACTATCGTCATCATATCACGCTGAGTCCTGGCAAGATTGCTTATGGCTCGTGTGTTGCGGTGCGGCGTACTCAGTGGTTGCTTGCAGGACCACGAGAGTCATACCCCTGCTCATTTGTGTCTCTCAACCCATATCCATGACATTTTTGCCTGTCTCTGAGACTCCGCCTTGGACAAGGCCACCCCAGTCACGACTCTCCACTACGAGTTCGTATCATACGTCTCGTCCCCCCAGCGCTGCATTTGCTCTCTCCTCTCTCTTTTCTCCTGGATCATCTGCTTTGCTTTGCTTTTGTCTGCTTTTTTCCCGCGCTTGTTTCTGCCACACCCATTCCAGACCTCGCAACACCGTCTGGTACGATAACGTCGAGGTTTACTGCCAATCGTTGGACTCCCTCCTTTTACCTATAGCGCCAAATTGCACGCTCGACCTGCATTCCCGTCGTTTGGCTTGAGAGCGATATCGACCAAGCGTACGACAAACATCTACCCTCCCGACCCAAACACCTCATCTTTCGCCTTCGAACACGACTGCCACATCAATTATTGGAGTAGATCACAGCGATTTGCTCTACGTCGGCGTCTTCCTTTGTCACTCTCGCACCTGTGGTGTTGAGAACTCAGCCACCTTTTCACTCCTTTCGACACCAACTCTTCATCTTGCTGCATCCGGCCAGCTTTCCCCAGACATCCGGTTCATCAGATTGTCGCCACATCTGTTAGCTTCAACTCTGTCTGCTTGCGATTGACTTGATTCATTCCTTACTCGTGACGACTTCTCTTCCACCAACGACTTGTGGTATTCTTTTGGCCTTCCAAGAGTCGAACTTCCTTTTCGACAGTCCTAACTACTCCTGGCTCGTGACCGATCTTCGATTTGATTTGCGACGCGAACACCAACTGACGAACTTTCGAACCCGCCATGCCATCGAAATCCTATTAACTTGTTTTTAAGACTGTGTTTGACTGGGAACCTTTGCCGCGATGAGTTTACCTGAGCCGCCGTCCTCACTGGACAATGGTTGCTCTGTTGTCCACGACAACACCCTTTATGTTTTTACGCCAACTGCTTTCTTGTCGCTACCGCTTGAGGAGGGTGCAGAATGGAAGAAGTTGAAGATGGGAGAACAAGTTACTGGAGGAGTCTGTGTTGGAACTGATGTCGCCCTATTCATAATTGGAGGTAGTGGTGGTCAAGCTGACTACAATGGTCTGCAAAAATACGTTTTCGCCGACAAGAAGTGGGAGACGCTGCCTATTGATGATACAGCCTTCCGAAATTTACAACATCACGGTGCTGCCTATATTAAGAATACCGACCAGATAGTTGTCTCTGGCGGCAGCCAGGACGGCAGAGAAACGCCTTCAGATACCTCCCGCTACTTCGCCGCCTCAGGACCATATATCCTCCAGAGCGCAGCGGGATCTGCCGCGTCTGTCAATCCCATTATTCTGGCTTGGTCCGATGCTGAAGTCTGCCTGCTCGGCGGTAGCGACTGGAACACGCAAGTTTTACTATTTAACGCCGCAACAAGTTGGAGGACCACAGGAATCACACTGGGCGCGCCCGTCGCGGCTTCCAGCAAAGCCATGCTTATTCAAGGCGACGATGGCTCCAAGAGTCTTTATGTTTTCGATCTCTCAGCCAGTCCCAACAAAGTTCATCGCTACGTTGTTTGGGGTGACAACAATGCGCCTGGCCAAAATGCTGCCGATCAAAACGTGAAGCGTGACCTGTCCCTGAATGACTGGCCTGAGTATAACTCGACACTAGCCCCTACAACAGCACGCTCCGATTACTCGATGGCTCAGGACTCTAATGGCAGAGTTGTGTTTGTTGGCGGTAACAAAGACGAGCCCATCGCCTTCTTTGACATGAAGGAGAACTCCTGGCTCGATGCCTCTGAGATTGTAGGTGACGATTCACAGAAAATTCTCTCTGCGGAATCTTCCACTGGAACCAAGACCAGAACCAGCTCTACCAAGACATCATCGACAGAATCATCCACAAAAACCAAGTCTGTCAGCAGCGACTTGTCATCGACATTGGCGACGTCGACTACCTCAGCAACAGCAACCGACGATTCATTCTCATCGGCAACCATCTCTACTTCTAGCTCTGCTACCAACAGTGACGTCGCGCCGGTTGGTGGTGCCAGCAGTGATGACAAATCTGGCCTTAGTTCCAATGCCATCTTGGGTATCACTCTCGGCACGATCTTGGGCTTCATTGCTGTACTCATCGTCATTTTGTTGCTCTTGCGCCGCCGTAAGAAGACCCGCCAACCATCGCCAGAGAACACGCAGCCCAGACACGACTTCCCTTCTGATGAGAAGGATCCCATGGGACTTGGTGGCGGCCCTGTATCACCCTTCCGTGGTCACCACTCCAACATGTCACAAGAATCATTCTCATCTATGGCGATTCTGATGGGCCGTGCTGGCAAGAACAAACCCGGTATTTCTCGCAAGCTGAGCAACGGCACCAACCGCAGCTCCGTCAGCACTGAACACAAGCAACTTAAATCTACCATTGGCAAGCCAGTCCTGCAGGAAATGCAACACCCTGTATTACAAGGACAGGACACCCGCGGAGTGGCTTTTGATCCAACTGTTGTCGAGCCTCGACCTCGCAATGGACCTCTCGAGACACAGGACGGTTTGCGAAGGAGCTCAGGCTGGAACCGATACTGGTCAGGCGGTAGCGCTCTTCAGATCTTAGGATTCGGTTCTTCCAAGAGAAACACTGTCGGCTCTGATAGCGACTCGCACTACTCAGATGCGATCCTGCATCGAAACCCCCGTGTTACGCAAGACTCGGCAACTGTGCCCCCTCTGAACTTCGAATTCCGCCCTGAGATGAATCGAGTCAATTCTGGAAGCCCCGTCGTCGCAGAGTATAATAAGGATATTCCTTTCAGAGACGGTGTAGCTGGCAAAATCGAGCGCCCTATCTCAAAGGCATCCTCTGGCTACTCCAGCGGCATTCCCGAGAGCGTTAACGAGACGTGGGACCCTGATCATAAAGACAAACCTTGGGGTACAGATCGTGCGACTAGCAGCATTTATAACCCAAGCTTTTACTTCGGTGCACCTTTATCTCCACGGGTCCCACCACCTCAGACACCTCCATCTGGGGTAAGCACCCAGCCTCAGCTCGCACTGGCCTCACAGTCATCAGATATGAGCTGGTTGAACCTCGGTGACCGCTCACGCCAGTAGAGCAGCCGCAGTTTTCATGAACTGATGACGTCTTTGAGTTCTGCATGCTCATTGTGAGCTACTGAGATACCCCATCGTGCTTGGCGCACGTACCCCTCTACAAGCGAATAGTCGTTTTCAGGTTAAACCCATCGCTTTGAGCATACATAACGCTCTATCACTCTCATTCACTATCTACATATCGGTGCATGTACATATTGGCACACGCACTCGATCACACTCACTACTCCTCTGAGACCTAGTGTCTTTCCGCGAGAACCTATTTTCTTTTCTTCTTTTTGATAAAGCATCGCATGAACCGGCGTCGGCGTGTGTATCCGCCGGCTTAATCTTGCTCATACTCATTTGTGTCTTTTTCTTGGCGCCGCTTTCACACTGTACATTCTAGACGAGGACCCGGGATTGGTCATTATTTCCCGTCCTTTTTCTTTCGATTGTTGTTGTTGTTTCTAATGATACCACCATCTCCTGACGTATGTAATTGGCTAGTGTAGCAAAAAAGGGGATCTGGAGGCGATGATTAAGATGATGGAGATATTTGATGGGGCCAAAAGAGGTGCTGGGTTGAGTTGAGGTTTGACGATGAGAAGGGGACGTGACTGCTGGCCGAGGTTGAGCGGCGGTAGTCAGTTTTGTTATCTCTGAGGCATATCTGGACATGAAGGGAAGCTGGAGGAAGCTGGGGCTGTAAAGCCGAAACTCCTCGCAACTAAACTATTTCCACAATCTACATTCTGCACATTTATGCATGTGACCTATGTATTGTTCAAAACGCGACTTGATCGAAGTATGAACAAGACATCCAGTTATGTTTCTAGCTGAATCTTTTTCGACGATGATCTCGTATGGCTAGCTGGAGTAAGGGTGCCGTTATGCGACAGAATATTATTTTTCATTTTGTTCTCGCGGCAACCAAACAGCTCCACGCCTTCGAGATTGGTTGTCATAAACACCTTTGTTATGTCCAGGACCCGACTGATTGGGAATCCATAGTCATCTCTACACACCATTACCAGCATCAGAGTTTCGACAAGCGGCGGGCCGAGCCTTGTCTTTGTTATTATGACCACGTGCTCCAAGATCAAGCAACTGAATGTTAGTAGTGTATCCTCAATGATGTAACTCGATTCAGAACATGGCTTGATGGAAGATCTAAAACGTAGCTTGCGCTTATTTTGGAAGTGTTGTCCCCTGGAAAGAAGCTCATAATACGAAATTTGGTCATGAATCATTCCTAGGCACTCATGCATTTACCTCTTAATTGACATCCCAATTAACATTGCGCACAGGGACACATCCAAGCCTGAAGTGTTATGTTTGTATGTCTGGAGACGTGTCTCTGTGTTTTTGAGCCTCACCCCCCGGGCTTTACGTGGGGGCATATTAAGCGAGGAGCTCGGTGAGTGTTTCTGGTAAGATGCCTCGCGATGGGACATGGGAATAAATATCTTTGTCTAGTATCATGACATTATGACCAGTGGAATCAAGGGTCTATGAAGTTCCTAGATGAATAGACCCAGATCCTAGGAATTTTGTTCAACTATAATCAATAAACGAAATATGTAGACTATGTGTTGTGTTTTAATCAGTTAATGGAATGGCTAAGCAACAACACCCATAGGTTCTCATGCCATGCAGTGAGTCTAGTACTGATATCAACATAATATCCATGGCCTTTTCCGACATATGAAGCGTCCAAGACTGCTGGTAGCCTGGTAGTATCTCATACATAGTTGCACCAGTCAGTTGTTTGACGAGCCAGAACGTCACAGGAAAACGAGAAATCTCCGGAGGCAGTCGCCTGTAGTAACCGTCTTGGTTGTCATTAACTTTTCGTCCAGTGGGCCCGAAGGCCAAGCGAAGGATAATGGCGTTTTCAGGGTCTCGTTGGCAGCCTGGTTAGTGATGATCAAGCGGCTCTTTGAGTTTGAGAGATTTTCTCAGCCGCTTAGTTAGTGGCTGTGTTTTCTTTCCTTTACGAGATGGGGGCTCAACAGGAGTAGGAACTGACCGACTATGAGCAAGAACGAGAAAATGAATCAAGTTTGAACCTAGCCCCCAATGTTAATCCACCTGCAATGCAATGCAAGGCACAGATGATAAAGTTGTCTGCAGATTTCTCTGTACCTATCCCACGGAAGACGTTGCCGGAGGGTGAAGGGTGACCCTGGTCGTCGGAGGAGGGCAGTCAGATTGGGAGGGAGCCATCCGGAGGAATATTGAATGTGGAATATGAATATATGGATATGAGTGGATGAAGTTCGATGGGGAGGCTCAACAAGCTTCTTTGCATTCGGGGAATGATATTGAAGAAGAGTTGGAGAAGTTGAGGTCCACTGAAACACCAATTAGAGCCGTACAGCTCCCGAGAGGATAACAATGTGAGGAAATACCTCTATTTGTTCTAAAAAGTAGTCATGAGTACCTTAATGTCTGAAGATACTACCTTTACAGGTAAGCAAAGAACTTGGCTCCAGGTGTTGCAAAAATTCACAGACAGATGAGATGCATCATACCTACGTACAAAGGTACATCCTTGCCCATTGATCTGTAAGAAGAAAGAGTCATGAACACATCGGTCGCCCAAACAGAAGCTCAAACAAGTCCAGAAACTCAGGGAAGGATGGATCTGACAAGGCCCCAATGCAGCACGGCCAAATTCCAATTCTGGTGGGCGAGTCATAGCCCAGCGATGAGTTTTACAGGGCCTATTACGGAGGAGAGGGTCTGGTTTCTGAAGCTAACCCGAGCAGTTAAACTAAACACTCCCAACCTTACGCATGGACCTGGCGGATATCCACCACTTAGAATTGTCCGCGGGCAGCGTTCCTCCCAAGGAAGGAAAAGATGAAGTTCTGGAAAGGTACAGTAAATGAATTGCTAGGAATAGTTTCAACAAAAATGCCAAATAGGCCAGATCTATTCTTCGTGTAAGGTACTCAAGGTATCATACTTGGGACATGTGCCAACAAACTTCTTACATAGTATATCCCGGTTTTTCTTCCTTGGAGCCTCTAGTGTAAGAGATCACTGCAGAAGAATCTCGGAGCAAGGGACATCCCACGCTGGCGGCAGCCACAGGTGTCGCAGAGTCTAGTCACATGAATAATTATAAGACCATGTAAAACTGTAAACTAAAACAGAGGCCAAGGTGGAAATTATCATGTGAGTAAAGGAAGAGAATAAGCAATGCAACTTCAACTCGGCTCTAGTTCATTATCCTCGAGCTCAGTAGTTATTATCTCAGACAGAAAACCCACCCCGTGAGCCATGCTCGTGAAGGTTCCTCTGGCGTCTGGCCCTGGATGACACCAAAGAAATGAACTTCTACACCAACCAGATACGGGCATTAACCCCTGCCATGGAATGACCCTCCCACCATCTCCCTTGACGATATCCTCTAACTGGAGATCCCCAGCTGACAATGTCCTGCAGGAGATGGATGGATTGAATGGATGGATGATGGAGGGGACATCCCACTCCCCAAGTACTAATACTTTTTGGATCCCTGCTCTTTAACAGGTCACCCGATGGGTTTCCATGGTGGAATTGATAACTGCTTCCATCATGGTGACAGACGAGAAAGTGAAAAGAAAGTTACGGTTTGGCTCTTCAGGCTCCTCCCCCGCCTGCCCACGTCCAGTTCACACTGAGCACAGGGCAAGAGAATGGTGACCGGCTATTCTCCACCAGAATGGAGCGTACGAAAACCCCACTCTCACCTACGGGCAGTAAACTCCACTCTGTCGACAAAAAGTCTCTCTACATTCAGCGTCTGGAAAGAAAGCAACTGCCCGCCGCCCGCCCACTTTGAATGAACCTACCTGGGTGTGCTAAGGTTGCCACTAAACGACCAACCACCTTTGGTTTGGACTCTTCGACTTAATTGACCAAGTTGAATCAGTCCCGAGTTGACATCGGCTTTGTCTCGTCTTCGTCCGCGTCCGCGCTTGCGTCTTCGTCTTTTGGGTTCCTCTCCTGCAGTTTCATTTGCATCTGCACCTATATCGCTTCCAGAACAGTTGACGGTCTCCCTGGCTCTCTCATCACCCTCTTACTGTCTCTCAGGTCGAATCGTCATTGTGGCCTCTGCTTCCAATCTCGGCCTCATCACAACTCTTTCGCGGTATCACAAGCTTTCTCGTCTCTGCGCCATTGCCAGATATTTCCGTTGCATGTATCTCCGCCGATCAGCTGGTTACTCACCGACCAAGTCCGACTGGAACGCATCTTGATACTGTATCTTGACTGTTTCTATTCTGCAAATATCTCTCGTCACCTTCGCTTGGTGTCAACTTCTCCGCTTTTGGCGCTGCTTCAACGACTAGTTCCATCTTGCGCAGCCTTGACTGGCGCAATTCACGACTCGCCCAGCTGATCAGATAAACTCACTTGTAATTGCCTCTATCCGACCAACACTCGGCGCAACCCGGCCATGATGAGTTCGACGGCATGGAACGGGCAGGACCAGGCAATGGCCTCGACTGGTGAGGACGACTTTCATCAATTTCTCGACATGAGCAGCATGGGAAGCCTGGGCGATGGCATGCACTTCGACTTCCAATCTTTTCAAGATGGCTCGGCTCAGGGTCTCATGAACCAAGCGCGAGATGCCCCCGACACAATAATGACCGACAGCGACAATCCAGGCCTAATGTCCACACCCAACACAATGCCCATGTCAACATCCACGGTTCAATCAACCATTCCCGCGCACATGATGACACCCGCAAGCGATCCGATTTCTAATATCGACGCCCAGATTCAATATCTCCAACAACAAAAGTTCCAACAGCAGCAGCGCCAGATGCAAGAGCAACAAGTGGCTTTCTTCCATAACCATAACCACTCAGTGCCCCCTACACCGCAAAGTCTTGAGATGCCCAACAGCGGACAGTTCTATTCACAGGCCGAGCAAATTCCAACATCAGGTGCCTACGACAGAAATTACCACCAGCGCATGAAAGAGCAAGATGTGAGACTCGAGTCCACCACCAATCCAACCTCTGCATGTCTTGTCGCTAACTTGTTTCTAGATGGCATTCACACCTCTCGTCTCTCCCGCAGTTACCCCTTTGGATCCCAACTTCTCCATGGACAGTGGCTATACTATTCCCAGCGCCTATTTTAGTCCTCTGACTTCACCAGCCCTCCACGCGCAGAACGACCCTTCTACAGTCTACGACCCGCGCCTTACTAACACCAATAACTCACCAATCGATATAGATCTCGACAGATCGGCTGCTCCCGTCACATCCGTTTTGGATTTGCCCAAGAAAGCTACAAGGAAAAAGACCGCAACCAAGACACGGGCAAAGGCTAGCATTCGAAGTTCTCCCATTGTCAAGCCTCAGCGTCGGAAAACAGGTCCCAGTCCGGCCATCGTCTCACATGTACTCAGTGAAGTTGAAGAGAACAATGGTGCCTTTCTTCCGATGCCTGCAACCTCTACCGAGACCTCGGCAGAAGAAAACTCATCGGTATCCCCTGAGGCCCTCTCGGAGATGCCCCCGCCGCCAATTCCCAATAGGAGATCGACCAGCAAATCCCCATACATCCAAGCGCAGTCGAGCAACCAGCAGACGCCTGTCTCTGGCCCTGTTGATTCACGTCCAGCTCCAGCTACTCCCGCATCGCTCATGAAACTCCCGGCATCCAGGGCAAGCAAGCAGGCAAACGGACCTCAAGAACCGGTTGTGTCTGAACACATTGAATCGCTTGAGTTGCCCGAGTCGGTATCTGGCAAGACTATGACCCCGGTCATCTCGCGCTCTTCCGTGCAGTCTCCTTCTGTGGAGCCTATGTCTCGCCGAGGATCAAGCTTTCAACCGTTGCCATCACCAGTGTTTTCCAAACCTTCAGAGCCTGCATCAGCAAGTGCGAGCCCCCAATTGGTTCCCGGTTCAGCAGGCCCATCCGCACGGAAAACTCCTCAGCTCGCGCCTCGGTCTAGCAGGAAAAGGTCAACAGGCTCGGTACATGTCTCACCGGCATTGTTACCTAGAATATCCCCTAGCATTAAGCCTCTTCTCCCCGGCACACCGGGGATGACACCGGCGGAGAGTGCTGCGTCGCAATTACTCATGTCGAAATCCAACTACCAAAATATCCTCGAGGGCAACAAGGTGCCAGGTGTTTCATATCCGAGCGAGCTTTCAACAAATCTCACATCAAAGCGAACGTCCCACAAAATTGCAGAGCAAGGGCGCCGTAACCGAATCAACTCTGCGTTACAGGTCATGGCCGGATTATTGCCTGGTGGAGACAAGACGAATCTTGCTGATGAAGGTGATAAGAAGGATGGGAAGCAAGCGAACGCGCAAAACAGCAAGGCCAGTGTCGTCGAAAACGCCATTGTGCATATGAAGAGCCTGGAGAAAGAAAACGGTGATCTGAAGAAAGAGGTGGAGGAACTTAAAAAGCGATTGGAGGTGCTGCAAGGGTCAACAGATGATAAAGAAAAGGAATGACAAGAGGATCTGGGTGCATCTAGCTCACTTCATGATATACATGGGCGCTGAACAGGCGGGAACTTCCCTAGTACATAATTGGATAGGTCTGGTTCGTGATTGGGTCAACTCTCTTCATAATATCCTCAAGGGCGGCAGCGATTTTTGTTTTGGCGTTTTGCTTGGGGTGTTGAACGGGGCGGGATACTAGATGGGTGCCTCTCGGCCTAGATGGGCTTGTTGTAGAGTGTATTTGTTGAAATCGCTAGAAGAGGCAATGGATGACTTAGCAAACGAAGGATTAACGAGTTTATAAGAGTTGTGGAGCATGGATATACCAGAATTGAATAATAAAGGTCACGTCAACGAGCAGAGCAAAGCGAGACATGGGTCCAAGATCCGAGATGTTGAGGATTGACGTGAATTAAAAGGTGAATGTGGTGAACTAGTTTGATTTGGCTAAGGGTCTGGAGCATTGTTTATTGTTATGTGATATGAATGGCTGTTATTGTTGTTGGTCAAGAACGTCAGTATCTAACTGCTCCATGACCTCCACCACAAGTTTCAAGCTCTCCATGAAGCCGTTGACAGCAACTCGGAGCATTCGATTGGTTGTGGCCTTGTACTGAACCTCAAGGAGCTGGGCATTGGCATCGCCGCCAGACGGAGAACCCTGCGTTGACGTCGGCACTGGGACAACGGTGAGCTGTCGCCTGACGAGTGGGGAGAGTTCAGGGTCCACCTGAATGGCCTTGAGGGCGGTTGTGGCCAGTCGAGCGGTAGGAAAGGGGACGTTGAGGACACTGAGAACAAGGGTATGGGTCAGCAAAGAGAACGAGAATAATAACAATAACAACAACAGCCAGCCTTAGCCTCAGTAGCCTCAGACTTGGGGCCGTCATCGTCACAGGACAGGGGGGTGGCTTGCATCGAACAGGGAAATTCGGGATCGGGAATGGCGGTCATGGCTGTCATGGCTGTGACTATGGCGGAGGTGGTCACTGCTTTGGTAGCGACGGTTTATTAATCTCTCTTGCTTGTGATCGATCTATTCGTTTCCCGATGCTTTAGTATTCTGGTCGTGCGGTAGTTTTATAATGACGATGCTAGCCTTGGCCTTTGCCGTGACAAGGAATGGAGATCTAGACCCGAAATCGAAAGGACAGGAACGTCAACCGTTGGGTTTTTTGTGTTTTGATTCAATAGTGAAGAGGGCCCCTTTTGAGATGAGATGGAGTGAGTTAGAATCGAGTATAAGTGAGAGGATGTGTGAATGTGAGTGAGGTGAGTTGTGTGTGACTCTGAAAAAGATTGGAGGTTTCTGATAGATGCGTGGGGATAAGATTGGTTGGCAGTGGGGGAAATCTATTACGGGAAACGGGTGGTAAATTCTAGGCCATTTACGTTACTGCAGATTTATAACACAGCCACAGAAAGCCACAGCCGGGACGGTTCGATCATAACAATAACTAGAATCCAACCACTGGGATATCCTTGGAATCTGTTGCATTTGTTCCATTTAGGAAACAAGGCTTGCAATCTTAATTGCAGATACTCCTGGCGTAACACTAGTTCATCTAATTCCTTAAGATGTAAGCGTTTATGCTGAGCTATAGCCGTGTGGTTGGATATCATAACAAGTTATCAAAATAGAATGGATTGTTTAGGGTACTTAGGACATCAAATAGAGGCAGTCGGGGAACCAAAAATAAGGACATACCGTCAACCATGCTAGAACGTCTTTTACTACCGTGGATAGCAGTCGCGTGAGGAACAACTGGAAGCGCTGATTGTTTTAATAGCACCAGGACCAACGTCGCATGGAACTTATAGCTGGAGCTGGAGCGGAGCGGTCTGTTGTGGTCCAGGGCCTGGGCCAAGTTAAAAAGTCACTGTTGCTATGGCAATAGCACAAGGAGCAACCTGTTTCGGGCAGGGGCCCAAAAACAACGACAATCGTCCATACAAAAGAATCGTTAGCCCAGTGTCCAATCTTACATCAACAACGTCAACCAAGAACTTCAATTCTTTTCCCTTTCCCAGCTTTGCCTTCTGGCTTTTGGTGCTTTCTCTTGTCCGCGCTGGAACTGGACTTGAAGACCCCTTTCTTTATACCTCTTAAAGCCAGCCTACCTATTTAGCTCACTCAACGCCTCGCTGCAGCTTCCCGTTGAACTGTCAAAGGCAATTCGTCCCCGGTCACCGCCTGCTCTGGTCATTTGTCGCTCGTCACATTGAGACATCGCCGCTGCTTCAATTCATTGACTGTGTATATCTTGCTATACTCTGATATTTTCCGACTGCATTCGAAAGCTCCTGCCCTTTTTTGATAACAGCCATTGGACGATTCCACCGCCAGCCTCCCTGAAGCGCAAGTCAATATCAACAACATAACAACAACATGGCTCCTTCTACCAGGCAATCGCAAAACATGGCGCAGATAGTCGAGTACATACCAGGTAAATCTTTACTCTCTACAACACATCATTCATACAATGGCCCCTTGGCTTTTCAGGGCCATGTCGCATTGTTATCCTTTTCAGTTTTCGCCGCTGCTCAAGGCTCCACTTTGCTTCATCGACACCAATCTTCATGTTCACAACATGCTTCTACCAACATCGGCGCTAAACTATATTTCAGACCGACTTTACCTTGCCTCCTACATTCATCCTCCTACACCAGATACGCCGTTTCCTTACCCCGAGGAGCCTCAGCCAGCTTCTCCCAAGAAGCGAAGCCAACGAGCTGCCGCGGGTGCGACCCCGCTCGCCGCCAAGTCGAACAGACCACAGCCATGCTATTTCACTGTTGACGATACTCTTCTGTACAACGCTTTCCACCATGACTTCGGTCCTCTGCACATCGGCCACCTCTACCGATTTGCCATTCAGTTCCATGATATCTTAGGCGCAAAGCAAAACAAGGACCGCCCCATTGTTTTCTGGAGCGCTGCTGACCCTAGAAGTGAGCCTTTCCGTGTAAAACTGTACGAATCGCAAGGGAACTAACATCAAGTCAAGGTCGCGCGAACGCCGCCTGTATGCTCGCATGCTACATGGTCCTCATACAGAACTGGCCTCCCCATCTGGCCCTTGCCCCGATTGCGCAGGTCGACCCTCCACTGATGCCATTCCGAGACGCTGGTTACAGCCAAGCCGACTATGGCATTAGCGTTCAAGATGTTGTCTACGGTGTGTGGAAGGCCAAGGAGGAAAAGTGCTGCGATCTGGACAACTTCGATCTTGACGAATACGAGCGTTTCGAGAGAGTCGAGCATGGTGATTTCAACTGGATCACCCCCCATTTCCTGGCATTTGCTTCTCCTCAGCACGCGCCGGTCCAGAAAATCACAGAGGGATCCGATCTGTACCCATTGCTTCCACGGACGCTAGCGGCCGTGGATGCCCATCCCAAGTTGCCAAAGCCCTTCAAGAATGTGCTGAAGCACTTTTCCGAGAAGAACATTGGTCTGGTGGTTCGACTTAACTCACAACTCTACTCTCCCTCGTACTTTGAGGCCCTGGGTATTCAGCACCTGGACATGATCTTTGACGATGGCACATGTCCCTCGCTTTCAACTGTCCGCAAGTTCATCAGACTCGCTCACGAGACCATCACTGTCCGTAAGAAGGGAATTGCCGTTCACTGCAAGGCTGGCCTCGGCCGCACAGGTTGCTTGATTGGTGCCTATCTCATCTACCGACATGGTTTCACCGCCAACGAAGTTATCTCATTCATGCGCTTCATGCGACCTGGCATGGTTGTTGGCCCTCAACAGCACTGGCTCCATTTGAACCAGGGCACATTCCGGGAATGGTGGGTTGAGGAGAGAATCGAGCGCAGACTCAGGAGGGAGATGGCTGCTGCGAACCCAATTCCTAGCACCCCGATTCGTGCCATGCAAAAGACAACGCTCCGAAACGGCCAGACGTCGACACCCCCCAACCGAAGCCCTTCAAACCGTACTCCGCTGAGTGAAGTCGACCACGACCGCAATAATATTGGGGTCCAGGAAGACTATTTACCAGCTCCTACACCAGGCCAACCACGAAAGACTGCTAGGGATCGTCATCACCCTTACCAGCGCTCAACTTCCAACGGACTCGGTGTTGAAGAGCAGCACACTATTGAGCAAGAAGCTGAGTACATCGCGACGCACAGCCAAGCTCACGGCGGAGAGTCTGACGAGGAGTTGCACTTGCGCATGCGCCGTCATCGTAAGGCGACCTCCCAATCACCAGCTCGCAGTGAGAAGACGCGCTCCGTTAGCCAGACGACAGCTATCTACACGATTGACAACGATGCGTCGCACGACGCCGAAAACATTGGCTCTGTGCGGACCAAGCACGTCGAACGAGTTGCTAGTACCCCTGGTGTTCTGACAAAGGTTCGCGGCAGCAAGCGCCAGGGAGAGTCTCCCCTTCGGGCGAAGGAGTCTGCTGGCATTCGAAAGACCAGCGGCAGAGTAGGCAGCGCCAATCATGGAGCCTCGGTGACGGCAGCTTCGACAGCTCGTAAAGTTTCTGGAGCTTAGAAGGCACCAGCACAGCGAGTCCAGCCGCTTCAGCGTTCTAACGCGAAGCGTAACAGACACTTGTACGATTCTACGTCACGATCATGATTCACGTACGTCACGGGCAATGTTAACGTCTCTCATGCATTGGCGTTTCTGGCTCAGAAGAGGATGACGGGCGTTTTATGTTTGAATGTTAATGATTCTTCTCCCATGCATGATTGCTTACCGGGAAGTGTTTGGCTTTCAGTTCATGCCATTTCAAACTTGCAAGATAATTCAGTTTCTGCAGCATACAAGAATCATTACGGCTACGACTTGAATGGAGTTTGTCGTGGTCAAGCAGAAGGCAATTAGAGAGATGTGAACAATGCATACTATCTCGGAGGAGGGAAAGACTGAAGGCATACCGGAGTTCAAATTTGCGACGGCGTACAGGCAGGCAAGGTTGAAATTTTATTATTGTGTACTTATTTGGATTGGCATTGCATTGGGTTTTGTTGTTTCTTGATGATGGTCAAAGAAGAGATGGTAGCGGGCTTTTACGACGGTTATATAAGTTTTCAAGAGCTGAAATACATCTCTTACACTATTCATTCTTTGTTTGTTCCTGTCTGATGATCGATGGTGTAGTGTAAGCCTCACATATCGTATAATCTATTTTGCTTCGTATCTCGTTCATATGTACTTCACTATCAGATCCGAATGCCTTCAAGAGCTGTGACAACATATTCTATCAACTTGCCAGCCTCAGCACTTGTCATCTCTTCACTCACAGCCAAACACTTGTCCACCACATCACGATATCGACTACCAACCTTGCTACCCAGACCAGGAACGAGAGCCGCACGCAGCACCTTGTCGCGCCATCGATCCGTGGAGTAGTGTGGTTTATGGTATGTTTGGAGAACCTTCCAGAGACCTATTTCAAGGAGCACCAAACCCAGACTATAGATATCCATGGGCTTGCAGTGAGGAAAGCCTCGCAAGGAAGCTGGATGTCGGTGGAGCGTAAGGATAGAAGGATTACGGGGCGCGACAGAGAGTGCAGTATCAAGCTCTGGTCTTGAAGCATCGAAACCTGTCAGATAAGGGCGTTGTATATCTGGTACAAGTGCCCCAGCAGCAGTTGATGAGTGAGCCGAGGCTGAAAAGGCTGAAGGGAAGAAGAGAATGTTTGAACTGCAAAGACTTTTATGGAGCCAGTCAAGTGAGTGCAGAGACCATAACGCGACGGCGAGCGTATGTGCCAAATGGACTCGATCATCGAGGTTAGGAGTCTTGAGGTCTGAGCTAGTGATGAGTTCATGGAGCGTCGAGAAAGACGGCGAGGGCGCTTTGTACACGAGCCCGTATCTGCACCGTGAAGCATCGTCAACATAGCCTACGCAGTCGATGCTATGAAGGTCAGGATGGCAATCGGAAGCGGAGTGCATCATGCGAGCAAGATCGTCAAGGCGACGCACATGAGCTACACGCTCGTCTACATCATCGCGATCATAGTCCACCCACTCAATCACGACATCTCCCGCGCTCTCATGCCGTCCTTTACTTCTCCCGCCACCACCACCATCCTCACTGAGATCAAGTGCAGCACGGGCAACCTTGAGGGCGAACGTTGGCTTGAACGAGGCCTGGGGCGTGGCGTCTAGGTTGATTCGGAGTTTCTTGAGATTGGCCGAGGTGGTGAGCTTGGGATAGACACCGTTTGAGGCTACCTCAAGGAGAGTAAGTTGAGTAAGGTCACGTTGTGCCGACTCGAGGAGCTGATTTGTCCATGCGCGTTGAAACGATGGGAGATGAGAGGTTGGAAAAAGACGTTCGAGGCCATCGTTAAAGTCTAAGAGTCGAGGATTCAGTTTTTATTTGAACTATTGATTCAGGCGGGGCATATACCTCGCAAGTCCTTTAGCAGGTTTATGAACTTCTCTTTATCTAAGAGCAATCAGTTTTGTCTTGATGGATGTGACAGATGATAGACCCGAGGACTCACCTGCTATAACCCATCTTGCTCTTAAACCCATCTCCTTCCCCCAACTCCTTTCACTTGTTACTTTTGAAACACCATTCAAGTTCCGACTCTCATCATCTTTTGATCTCTTTCTCGAAGGCGAAGGCGAAGGCGATTTCCTTGGCTTCGATCCAGTGACTTCCAAGCTGGCTCTCCCCTCATCAATCAGCCCGTATCTATTCTTCAGTTTCTTGAAGTCCGTGACTGCGCTATGCAACTCCTCAAGGATTTGAAGCGCCAAACTCCTCAGCTGGGGATTCCTTGTGCTCTCGAGATGAGCTTCAAGTCTACCCTCCGCGACGCCCCAGTCCCGGCCCCAGACAACCAGGCGCATCTCTTCAATGCGCACTTTACATAGAAGTCTCTGGCTGTCTGTGTCGAGGTTAGCTGCTGCGGTGAAGAGGCTGTAGGCTCTAACGCAGCCGTCGAAGAGTTGGCCGAGGACGCCTACTACCGCGAGCGCGGTTCCCACGGCTTCAGCCATTGGGTTAGAGCGTGGGGTCGAGGTAGGAGGCGGCGGGATGATGCTCTGTGAGACGTTAAGAGCTTTGACATGAGGTGATTGATTAATGCAGATGCTAATTATGATATGTAATTTGTGAGCTCCAGGTGAATGCCGGCTAGAGCTTGATTAGACAGATTAGGGATCGACGCTTAATCAGCCCTAGAATGCAAGGCCATTAGAGGCCTATCGCGATTCAGACGGCAAAGGCCCAATCGTCGCATACATGTTTCGAGTTGATGTGCGATACGCTATGTAGTAGTTAACCACCTGCAACTATATCTATTGAAGAAAAAAGCATTTTGACGAAGTATGTACACAAATTGCAACGTTTAATTTATACATGCTAAATCGCATTATTTCTTTTCATCGACTGACCCTTCATTGCAACATCTGTTGCATGGCATTCAGTCTATAGCTCTCCCTCCGCTCCATTAGTTGAGAATGCCGCCCACGGTCAATAATTTGTCCATTTTCAACGATGAAAATGATGTCAGATTTCTCCACAGTATGCAATCGATGAGTGATAGCCAATACCGTCGTGCCCCTTGACGCCCTCTCGAGACCCTCTTGAAGAGCTGCTTCGCTGGCGGCGTCAAGCGCGCTGGTACTCTCATCTAGGAGCAATAGCCGTGGTCGACGAACAAGAGCACGGGCGATTGCGAGGCGCTGTCTTTGGCCGCCTGATAGACGAGAAGCAGAGGGGCCGCATTCAGTATCGTAGCCATCAGGAAGGGCCGCAATAACGTCATGTATATTCGCTAAACGGCAAGCTTCTTCAATCTCGCCATCTGTGGCTTCATGACCAGGAGGTGCTCCCAAGCCAACATTGAAACGCACACTACCGTCAAAGAGGGCAGGATCTTGAGGGACTAGAGCAATCGTATCTCGGAATGACGCTGGAAGCTTGCTGATGTCATTATCATCGATGAGCACGCTGCCAGACGTAGGCTCGTATAAACGCTGAACCAGGTTCATGATGGTTGATTTGCCCGCTCCTGAAGGACCAACAAGACCACAAAACTGGTTAGGCGAGAGCGTGAAGGAGACATTGTCGAGGATAGTGGCATCAGGTCGGCTAGGATAAGCAAAGGAAACGTTCTTGAACGTCACCTTTGCACCGCCATGACTATGGTTATCAGCAGGGCTGAGCGGCTTTTCTCCACCGGATGCTTCAACGTCCCTCCCGGCTTTAGAAGGATCCTGTCCAGGCTTTCCTGTGTGGGTGCTACTTCCCATGTTGACGACCGTCATGACGCGAGACAGTGCCAGACGAGCACGAGAGAATTCCGGAGCGAGTGAGAACATGCCACTCCAAAGCTGGGCACTTGTCAACATGGCGACCAAGATGATAAGGAAGTCCTTCTGAGTATACTCTCCCTTCATGATGAGCTGCGAGCCCCACCAGTATGCGAGAGCGTTGATAAAGGTACCTGTTGTGTATGAAATGGCCAGCCAGATGTTAGTTGTGACCGAGGCACGCACAACCTGCTCCTTTGGAGGCTTCAATAATCGGGCGAAACCTTCCATGTACTCATTCTCAAGGGATAGGACGGCCACTGTACGGATGGACTGAATAGCCTCAGTTGCAAGTGCGGTGGCAGTCGAGAAGGCCTCACGATGACGCTCTTCATAACGTGCCAGCATGCGCAGCTGCATGAAGCCCGAGCCAAGCAATATGGGAAGCGTCACAAGACACACCAAGGCAATCTTCCAAGCAAAGATGTGGGAGATAATGACCGCAATGAGAACATTGATAAGGATAGCAAACACGGTGCCGAAAGTTGATCCACTGAAGGCACCCACAGACATGCTATCTTTGGTAATGATGCCAAGAAGGCTGGTCGGCGATCGCCCTTCAGACTGATGCCAGTGGATGCCCTGCTCCAGCAAAGATCGGAACGATAGAACCCGAAGGTTGTAGAGAAGCCTTTCGGCGACAATGCCGAAGCCCAGCCAAGCAAGAAAGTTAGCTATAAGCTCCACGCCTGCGAGCATGAAGAACAAGCCTGCAAACATGTTGCCCATGGATCTTATATGGTCAAGGGTATTTGCACAAGGGTTGAGCGCTCCAACAGTGAAGCCAAATATGATGCCGGAACCAGAAAAGGTAGCCCCAACGAAGACAGCAGCGATCGTGGCGAGGGTGAACCAGCCCAGAGATGGTCGAATCAACCAGATAAGACCCTTGATGACAGAGCTGAAAGGTTTCACATCGTCCAGCTCATGATCCTCTGATACTACTTCTTCTCCTTTTTTCTTGGACTCTTCCTTCTCCTGGCCCAATAGCTGGGAATCTAGTGACTGCTTGGCTCCAGAAACTTCAGTCTTTTCGTTCAGTTGTGTGTCATTTCGGAGAGTTGAAGCGCCGATTGACTCGCCGTCCACAGATCCTGTGTCGCTCTTATTGCCGACTGTCTGCAGTTTTGCCATATGCGCAAATTCGCCATCCTCCTTGGCCATAAGATCGTCATAAGTTCCTTGCTCAACGACTCGACCAGCCTTCATGACGACAATATTGTCGGCGTTGCGGATAGTTGACAAACGGTGCGCAATAGATATGATGGTTCGTTTCTCAGCAGCAGCCCTCTCGACAGCGAGCTGAATTCTCTTCTCACTGGCAGAATCAAGAGCTGCTGTTGCTTCGTCCAGGACCAGGATTTCTGGATCACGGATCAGAGCCCGAGCAAGTGCAATGCGTTGTCTCTGACCACCACTCAAAAGCGACCCCTTGGGACCAGCAGATGCACCATAGCCTAATTCAAGACGTTCAATGAAGCTGGCCGCATCAGCCTGCTCAGTGGCGTGTCGGATCAAATTGGCGATTTCGACGAACTCGGGCCCTAGAGATGCAGCTGAGTCTAGTGAGTCCTTGCCCTTAGCAGCCATCTTCGCAAGCTCGGGGCCTTTGAGCAATGGCTTGAGGTGTTGGTGGGACTCCTTTGGAGAGTTCACCAGACCCAGTGCGATGTTTTCAAGAATGGACCTGTCGAGAAGCGAGGGCTCTTGCTGAACGAAGCTAATGAAACTTCGGAGAGACTTGACGTTGAGTTCTCGCAAGTCGTGTCCCTCGAGTTCGACTGTACCCTCAGTGGGATCATGCAGACGCGCTATCAGTGATGCGACAGTAGATTTACCGCTCCCGGAAATTCCAACAATCGCCGTATATTTTCCAGCAGGGAAATCCAGGTTGACATTCTCAAGAACAGGCTGGCCTCGCCGAGAGGCATACTCGAACGAGACGTTGCGGAATGTCAGGGTCTTCTCCGCACTTGGAGGAAGTACAATTCCCTCTTGTGAAGTGCCGTCGATGGAAGACGGAGCATCAATATCTTCCTTGAGCCGCTGGAATGCACCTACGGCTGCTCCTAAGAATGGAAGAGTAGGTGCCATTCCGCCCAGCATGACGCAAGCGTCCACGAGAAGATAGACAATGGCATAAATCTCACCAACAGTCGTGCTTCCGTCGTTGCGTGCCACAGATTCAACAATCTTTTTACTGCCTTGCCAGAAAGCTAGGGCATTGCCAGAGTAAGCGATGAAGTAGAGCAAGCCGGTCTGGATAGCGGCAATAGAAGATTTAACTATAGCGTACTTGCGAGAACGGGCCATGTGCTCTGCAAACTTCTCTTCAAGACGGGGGGCGGCACCGAAAGCTTGAACGACTGCAACATGCGACAGAGCCTCGGAAGCAATGGAAGAGGCTGCAGCGGATGCTTCTGTTTGTTTGATCACAAACTTGCCCAGGTATCTTCCTCCTACTATTCCGGAAAGAAGAAAGGCTGGGAGCATACAAATGAGGATACCGGCAAGTCTTGGCTGTTTTGTGAAGGCAATAATGAAGACAGTGACGAAGAAGCTGATGGTTGTGATGATGTTGCCAACCTTCTCTGATGTACCGGCCTGTACAGCTGTGATATCGCCTTGGAGTCGGCTTGAGACTTGCCCAGATGCTCCACGAGTGTCGAAGAATTCTGGAGGCTGGCGCAGAAGTGCAGATACATAGCGAGTCCGCAAACGCTGAGCAAGACGCTGGCTGATGATGTTCCAACAGGTCAGATGACCATAGATCAGGACAAGTGCGATAGCGCCAATCCAAGCTGTCTTTATAACCTTGTCGTTGATAGCATTCTCATAGTCAAGGGGATCAGAGGCTGCCTCGCTCGCTCCAGAGCCACTACCATCGGCGGCGCAAGTGGCTCCGTTGAAGTTATCGATGAGCTGGCCGAATAGGACACCCATGAGAGGGAAGGGAACACCAGCTCCAACGGCGCAGAGGGTACCCAACGCGATGAGGAGGTAATCGACCCATGTTGGACCAGCGGCGAACAAGAGTTCAAGGTAAGTGAAACAGGTTTTGAGAGACTGACAAGCGCGTCAGTATCGTTTGCTTGCGGCGTTCATCTTGAAGGCCTAGAGATGGTGTTGACTTACCGATAAGCAGCTTCTCTTCGGCTTCTCTGTGCCTGACTGATCAGGTGCAACGGCCATGGCTGTCGCTGTCGATCGAGGGGTAGGACGAAGGTACCTTAGAGCACACCCATTGACTAACTACCAATCGAGTGACAAGACTGTCACGAACAAAGCTCGTCAAAAATTCAGCGATGTTTTGGTAACCCACGAAAAGGGTCTCGCGTCGACCAAAGGGAGTACAATAGTTAACAGAAGAGGACAGAGCAACCTCGGCAATCAATGCGATACGTCAGTAGTCATTCAGAAAGCCGATTCAGGAACCCTGAGCCAAGAAGACCCTGTTATGCAACTATCATTTACTATCCATATGAAAGTCTGATCGGCCTGGGCATATGCCCATGCGTCGATGGATACAACGGCCTTGCATTGCACTCTGCGCTTTGGCACAGTCCATAATGACATGGGCTTGATGGGTCTCGCAGAAGAGGTAGGATCATCGTAGGGAGCCAAGAGTGAGGATTTCGATCAACATTTTGCCCAACTCAGAGACACCTTGTACTAGATGGTGGAGTCGATGCGAGGGTATATTGGTGACAGGTAGAACGTTTATCCTCCAAGAACTCTATTGCATCTGGTCAACGTACGCGTGTACACATGCACCAGGGTCTAGGATCAGATAAACCAGGATCTTTAGTATTAGCCAAGTGAGTCGGAGGAGAGTGTGGGATACGCCACTTTTGCTGGCGGACTAGAAATGAGCCAGCAACGCCAAGAAGCCCTGGGCCAAAACAGAATGTGGGCGGTGATCAGATAAGATGGTGTGATTGATATGATAAGATGCAATGTAACATGGCGCCAAGGCCCAAACAACGTGAAGTGGAGTGAATCGCCGAGCATCGGAAGCGATCGTCACTTGTTTCTACCATATTTGCAACTCAATGCATCGTCTTGGCCACCGGGGGGAGCTCTGAGCAACTTCTTGCTCGAGAAAGGTCGTTTTGAGACGGTTCAGAAACAGTTGAGAAGAGGGTTGGATGGAATTAAATGATCCATTCGTCATGACAAGGATGATGAAATTAGCGTGAGCAATCCTTGATAAAGGCCGCAGGCGTGGGGAAATGGTGGAGAGGCGTCGGCATGAGTGCCTCCTATCGGAGTAAAGGAACCGCTGTTTGGTCACTAAATTTACCTAGCTGGAGGTCAATGTTCCGAGAGGCGTTTTTATGCTTATTCTGTCGTCAATTCTGTTCAACGGGAACGGAACGGAAATTGAGTGTGTTGAGAAGATGCCGATGTCGATAGGAGGCTTGATTTCTGTCGGTGGATTTGTTCTCTGACTCAGGCATGTATCGGGAAGTGGGAGGAATGCATATGGCCCGAAAAAGAACTCTTCAGTGGGCCGATCTTGGGTAGTAGATCCTTCACATGAATTGCTTCATCGGGTTTGATACCTGCTTTAGAATCAAGAAACGAGCGTACATGATTGGGTGGCCGATTAGAGTTGCATTTAAGTATGGGAAAGGTGGGAAGGTTAATACTATGCTTAAATCGCCCACTTATCAAATCCATTGGATTTCACAAGGTCTTGGCGGCTCACCCGCCAGAGCATAACTCACGCTTGCTGTCTACGGCAGTTGATCTGACACTCTAGATAGTGCTGTGCGTGCTGAGCTCTGCCACTTGACACAGATGAGAGCGTCCAAGAACCTCCTCTCTGTACAGAACCAATACTTGCCAAGATGCTGATCTTGTCAAGTTTCAGAAGGCAGCATCTTAGCAAGATCACAGCCCTGCTCTTGAATCTCTTGGTGTTACATATATAAGAGGGGACGAGGCACGATGATGTTTGAGAAAATGTCCTGTTTGTAGATATCTAGAGCACCCCCCGTTCTATGCAACTTTTTGAAGAAGAGAATCACTCGTGCCATCTCATATATCAAATTCTTACCTAAAAGCGCCACCAATATCACGACCAACACAATGAGCCAAGCAACCCTTCGCACCAACCGTCTCGAACTACGGCCCCTCGGGCACGAGCACGGTGACTATATCTATCAGCTCGACTCAAACCCGGAAGTTATGAAGTACATCGGATATGGCAAGCCACTCACGGCCGATGAGTCGACGATTGTGCACAAGCTGCTCCTCGAGACAGCATCATTTGGGTCTGGCCTTGGATGCTGGGCAGGATTTGCTGGAGACGATTTTGTGGGCTGGTGGGTGCTGGCGCCCAGTCAAAGCAACGACGATCCGCCTCAGGTGAATAAGAAGCGAGTCGAGTTCGGCCTAAGAATCCTTCCCAAGTTTTGGGGTCAGGGGTTCGCCAAAGAGGGTTCTCAAGCGCTGGTCAAGCATGGTCTCGAAGACCTCGGGGTGGAAGAGGTCTTTGGTGAAACCATGGCCGTGAACCAAGGGTCCCGAGCTATCATGGCAAAAATTGGACTTAAGCATGTTCGAACATTCCACAACAAGTACGACAATCCTCCTCCGGGAATCGAGGAGGGTGAGGTGGAATATCGAGTTACAAGGGATGAGTGGTCATCGCAACAAGCATGTGCTGCGTAGTCGATGGTGTTGTAATAGCTTTAGACATTATCTCCAATAACTGTTGAACGTTTTCTGGTTAAATATCTTGTTTATGTCTATGCATTGTGACAACAATTTCAAAATACTAACAGCCTGGTGTTTTGATAAATGTTGTGAGATTCTTTTTCACTCCTCACTTGAGGAATTAGACCGACACAAAAAAGGCTTGGAAGAACAGAAAGGGTGTTGTTTTGGCTCTGATCCACCTATCTTCTAGAGCTTCTTTGGCCTCATGCATCAGGTGGTGGCAACGACTCCATCTAATGCAGGAGGTGAAGATGATTATGGAACATGTGGGCTATATCGCGCATCGTTCTTGGTGTTGACCACGCGGCCCATCTAAAAGGGAGCATTCGGCAAACTCCGCTTCATGGAATGGAAGAAACGTTACAAGGGATTGATCTAAAAAGTCTTGGATTCTCGCTCGGTTGAACTATGGCTTGGCACCATAGGTCCCTGGTAAACCGGTGAACCGAGAGCGAGCGTCGATTTACTAGTATCAGTCATTCGGAATTAACCGCTTGAATAAAGAAATTCAAGACCGAAATATACTAGTCAGCTTCAATTCCGTGGGGGGCATTCACCTCTTGTTATTGGGCCTGGCCATACAGTATAATATGCACGGGATGGTATTCCTGCAAGTTGCTCACAGACCCCCTATTAGGTGCTGGCGAGGTAGCTTGCCGTTCCTTGGAAACAACATCTTCTTGTCTGAAGATAGCAACACGATTATAAAGTTCATCCAAGGCACATAATAGCATGACGAACCTTGAGCGTACATTGATTCTTGTATTCCCGACTCGATAGGTATCCACAAAGCGTAGGGATTTTCCATGCGTCCTTTACTAGTTGTAGTGGGCTCAGACGATCCCAGGCTTATGCCAAGCCACTTGATACGACCAGGGTCCATAGGTAACTTTTTCGGCATCGTAGATTATTCGGTTTCCCGTCATTTTTAGGTCTAGCATTAGATCATTGGTCCATTTAGTATTTTAGCGTTGTGGTGCTGTTGGTTCTTGTTCAGTCGAGTTATTTCCAAGACTGCCATGCCATGCCACTAACACAACACTACCTTTGGCCCCTTGAAAGGATGAAGCTGTTGATGATTGGATCTTATCCATCAATCAGATTAGATAAAAATTTTCACATGGTCCATGTTCCGATCTCGGGTCAGTTCCCCCACTCGTTTGCCACTTGTAATCTGATCCCGTCTGTTGACCAGCTGCGGACCCCTTCCAATTGGGGAAAAGACCAACTGAGAGCATCAGCTCAGCCCAGAGACCGATGTTTTGATAGCTCCTTGGCCTAAAGCCTCGCTCGTCCCCGAGGCAAGGTACAATGGACTGTTGCAGGGGAAGTGTTCCGCGTGGAGAGAGACTTCCGGTGCAGAACCAACACATGGAAATAGACGACTAATAATCGCCCAACTCTTGTCCTTTGCATATGCCCATGTCGGTGTTACATTGGACTACATAAAGAATGCAATAGCTCCCCCTCTTATCCTCACTCTTCACATCAAAGTTCCAGTGTGTTGCAGCTTCGATCGTAACATCACTTCACTATCAATTAGTGTCGAGCTCAACAGCAACAATGTCAGCCCTAACAAAGATCCGTGAGGGCCTCGCTCGCGAGGACAATACTGCCGTCGCACATACTCTGGCTCCCCACGAGAAGGAGATCGAGGAGACTCCTGAGGTCATCACGGAGACTGGTCCAGGCCACGACAAGGAGGCCACTGCCGGTGCTCTTCCTCCTGATGACAAGGGCAACGATTCTGATGTGCCTAGTGAGGATGTCCAGACCGGAGTCAAGGAGATTCAGGCCATTACCCTGACTTGGGGTAAGGGATCTTTGGCTGCTCTTCTGTGTCTGTAAGTTGTACTCCTGAAACCGACTCTTGGGATTTTGTCTAACCAGCCTTCAATAGCATCTGGACACTCTTCCTTATAAGTGGATTCCGTGGTTCTTTCTACCTCGTCCTGGTCCCTTATGTGACCAGTGAGTGGCAGGCTCATTCACTCATGACCACCATCCCCATCGTATCGGACGCCATGACCGCAGCCTGCTATATCCCCATGGCCAAGGCTCTCGACGTCTGGGGACGTGCTGAGGGGTTCTTGCTCATGAGCGGCTTTGCAACTCTTGGTCTTATCCTCATGGCTGTATCTCAGAACCTCGCGACCTTCTGTGCTGCACAAGTCTTTTACTCTGTCGGATGGGGAGGCATGATCTATGCTGTTGGCGTCCTCGCTGCCGATGCATCTAATCTTAGGAACCGAGGTTTGGCTTTTGCCTTCACTTCTTCACCCTACATGATTACTGCTTTTGCCGGTTCCAAGGCTGCCGCTGCTTTTGTTCTTGATGTCAAGAACTGGCGGTGGGGTTTCGGCTGGATCGCTATTGTTCTGCCCTGTGTCACTATTCCTCTGTTTCTTGTCTTGAAGGTCAACCTTCACAAGGCTTTCAAGAAGGGTACGGTAACCAAGACTCATAGAAGTCGCGGCTTCTTTGGTAGCATCTGGTGGGTATTCAACGAGTTTGACGGTCAGTAATTCATAGCAACTTCTTGTAACGACTCATACTGACAATCACAGTCATCGGTATCTTCCTCTTCGGCGGTGGTCTTGTCGTCTTTCTCCTCCCCTTCAACCTAGCTGCACACGCCCCTGACGGCTGGTCCACCGGCTACATCATCGCTATGATTGTCGTTGGTTTCTGTACTCTCGTCTTCTTTGGTGTCTGGGAGTATTGGCTCGCCCCTGTTCCTTTCTTGCAGGGCCGCTTCCTCCTCGATAGGTCTGTCGTGGCCGCTTGCATGATTGATCTTACCTACCAGATCTCTTACTACACTTGGAACTACTTCTTTACCTCATTCTTGCAGGTCGTTGTCAACCTCGGTCCTGCTGAAGCTGGCTACGTCAACTCTACTTTCCAGGTCGTCTCAGGTGTTCTTCTCTTCATCGTCGGCTTCCTCATCCGAAAGACTGGCTTCTACAAATGGACCTTTTACTTCGCCGTACCCATCTACATTTTTGCTCTTGGTCTTATGATCCACTTCCGCGCTCCTAACCAGTATGTCGGATACATCGTTATGTGCGAGATCTTTATCTCCATCGGTGGTGCTGTCTTCATCTTGGTTATGCAACTTGCTGTCCTTGCTGCCGTTGCCCATCAATATGTCGCTGCTGCGCTCGCTACGTTATATGTCGCTGGAGGAGTTGGTGGTGCGGTTGGAGGAGCTATCTCCGGTGCCATCTGGACGAACACCTTCATCCCTCAACTTATGAAGAACCTCCCAGAGTCCGAGCTAGCCAATGCACCACTCATTGCTGGAAACATTGTCAACCAGCTGGCTTACCCAGTCAACAGTCCTGCACGACTTGCTATTCAAGAATCTTATGGTTTTGCGCAGGTCAGAATGCTTGCTGCCGGTGTTGGTATCGCTTCCTTATTCTTCATCTGGGTTCCCATGTTGAGGAACATCAACGTTAAGAAGCTGAAGCAGACCAAGGGCCTTGTCCTATAGAAAGCTTGACCATTTCATGGATCCCGAGTTGTGGATCTGGACTACAAATACCACATCGTCAAATAGGTAGTATGGTGTGCTACATGATGAACAAGTTATTAATGAGGAAGAGGCGACTTGGCTAAAAGTAATGGCTTGAATTGAATTTGAATCGATTCATTTTAAATCCCAAACGAAACATGTTGCTATGCTACGTGATCGGGGAAGGGGGCGAGATTATGGTAGACATGGCGAAGAGGATTGGCCGGCGCAAGATTCCTTGGATTGGGTAAACAGTCCGACAAATTATACCAAGTCAGAGAGGGTTGAAGCATTCTGTGAGATGGACTTGTCAAATTTAAAGAAATGCTAAAATATATTCATGGAGATGACGCCAGGACTTGATTACATGTGGCAGTTGTAGATACCCCAATGACGTGTATAGATCCGACAGGCTATAATGGCACCCAGTTCTAATGGTTCGTGAGGCAAATCATTGCCAACTTGATAGTTTGTTGAGGTTATCACGTCTTTTGTTGGTTCAGGTATGGAGATGTGATAGAAAGACAGCTTTCAACCCCTTACTACCAGACTTGACTCAGGCACTCAGTCTATCATGCAGTAGTGGCCACAAACCCTCATATAATCAGTACTCAAACAGGCCCGATGATTGTCACCGTTCATCATAAACAAGTCTTGAACATATCACCATCACATACGACCATACCTATCAGAGAACTCGGGATCCCGTCTGTTCTCCCATAGATAAACTGATAATGGGCGGATTAGTAGTTGGGCCGGTGACGACCGGCGAATCCCCGCTGTTGTATGTCTTTTTTGCCCTGTCATGATGTGTGATGTTGTTTTGGTTGTCTGGTGAAGGGGTGTGAATAGGTGATTGGATATGTCGGCGAGTGAGCTACTCTGGATTGCGAAGAAGCTGGCAGCTTGGAGGACTGCGGCAGGAGATAAAAGCATACTACAATGAGAAGAACGAAACTATGCCATGATCGTTTTGCCTTTCATTTCTTTCCGTTTAAAACTTGGTTCGCCCGTTTTGACACTCTACCCGCGATCACATGTAGTTTAACATTTGTTCAAACAGGCATTGATTTCGTTTCCATTCAATGTTGGTTATACAAACAGATACAAAGAAAAGCCCACTGTTTAGCAAATCACCTGGGATAATTGTTCCCTAGTGTTGTCTCAAATCCACAGCAGCCGGTCAAGCAAAACAAGTCTAGACGCCAGCCATTCCAGCCTATCTGCGATATGAACATCAGCCAACGTAAAGATCATCCATGTATTCATTTCATCTGATATGCTGTAAGGTAGATTTATAATCTCCATATATCGTACCAAAACTGGTGCCACTCCCCTGTCACCACGTCATGCGCTCGGCAATCATGCAGCTGATCGCACCTTTTTCTGATCAATTTCCTTCTCAATATAGTAAATAGGAAATGCCCTGCCAACGCCGGACACCTTGGCGCCCATCCTGTACTGGACGTAGCTTGCTGTCCTGGTTCTGGTCCCTAATCTAGTAGACCTTCTTCTTCTCGTCGATGCTGAACTGGCCCGGGCCGCTGTTGACAAGGAGCAGGAGACCACCGACGATAGATAGAATCTGGAAGAAGTCGTACTTGGCAAAGTCCTTGTGGGGGTGGTGCTCGTGGAGCTATGCGATTTGTTAGCATTTTGTATACAGTCGGCACACGCCGCAAGTTACTCACCGTCCAGAAGTTGTTGACCAAAAGGTTGAAAATGCTCAGGATGACAACGAGAAGAGTGGCGCTGTACTTGGCTTTGAAGCCAACAACCACCATGACGCAGGAAATTCCTCCGAGTGAGGAGACAATGACACGCCAGAGAGACCACTCTCCGCTGAAGACAAATCCAATGAAGAGGAAGATGAGCAGGACGCGACCAGCAAGCTGGAAATACATCTTGCGGTCCTTCTCATCGATCTGGGGAAGGCCAGCAAAGACCTGTGTCTTGCGAACCCAAGAGTCAGACAGGACCATGACAAGGCCACCAATAACAGAAAGATTTCGGAGGAAGAAGTTGAGATCGAAGATGAGACCATAACCTAAAGCCTGTGTGACAACAACGCCCATAAGACCGGCGACGGCGTAGTCGGAATGCTTTCGGATGATGACAAGAGTAGAACAAGAAAACATGGCGAGGATGTTGACGAGCAGGAAGAGATGAGTGATACCGGAAGGAACTATTATGGGTCAGTACTGCCAACGGTATCGCCTGGAATCAGAGACGCGATGCGCATCTTACTGTGACGGTAGTCCTTCAGGTAAAGCAGCTGATCGGACCATTGGGTGACAATGCGAAGGGCATCTTCGAAGAAGGTGACGACGATTAGGAAACGGCCAATGGCAGGAAGATAGCTGTCAAAGAGGACAAACGGTCAGCTCTCAGAGCTCCAAAAAGCATTTATAAAGGACGTCGCTCGACTCACGGCTTGATAGGCTCGCTAATGGTGTCGAGCGCATCCTCAATCTTGCTAGTATAGGGACGAATCTGCTCAAGAAAGCCCTCACCCTGCTGGGGATCAGCAGCCTGGGAGCCGCCGTAAGGCGCGGGGCCACCGAGGCCATAGCCTGAGTTGAATCGCTGGGACATTGCTTTATGTAGAGGTTCGTTTCGGATGGAAGCTTGTTTCACGTGCAGACCTGCTGACGGGCGAGACGAAACAGGGCGATGCTTTCCAGGAGTGGAAGTCGGTGATCGTCGTGAAGCGGAAGAGAAGGAGACTTTAGGTAGCTGGTGAAGCCTGGTGGAATTGAATCGAGGGCGTTTGATTTGACCAGAGACAATAGCAAATAAATTGCAAACGGGGGGTTGTTTGAGAAGCTCGTCAAACAAAGTTTAGGTAAGTAAAGTAAAAGAGTGAGAAATAGGGCAAGGAGAGGCAAGACAACAGGAACGAGACGAGGCGAGCTGTCCTTTGTGAATCAATTGCAGACGATGACCTCAGCTCAGACGAGACGAGTCGGATAGAGAAAAAGAGCAGTATGTAGTATCGGATTGGCTTAGATGAGGGTCGGGGCTAATTGTACAACGGTGTCCTTTAGAGATCCCGTGATGGAGCCCATTGTCGTCCCACTTTTAAGCTCCCTTCCCTTCCATTCTATTTGTGCTTCAACTGAGACCATGCATGACTTGGAGCTACTGCCGAACAGAGGGGAAATCAAAGGTACCGACTACCTAACTCTGCAGGTGCTCTCGGACCTCCCCTCGTCTTCTTCTCTCGTACAGGACAGGAAGGGCAGCTAGACAGTACCTTGCCTTAGCAAGGGACCCAGCCACTCCCCATCACCACTTTGGTTAGAGCCGGGAGCTAAATGGTCCAAGAATGGAAACATCCCCAATCGATGCTACCTCAGTGGCGCATCGCGATATGGTACCACGGAAGACAAAACAGACTCGACAACTAAAATACCTATAATCTGTGGTAGTTAGATGAACTCTTTGACTTCGAATCTATTAAACATTTACGTCAGTGTTTGCTCAACAACTATGTAGGTACTCATACGAGTAACCAAACCAGCGGGACAAGGTTGATAATTTAACAATAACTCTCCTTCAGCTCTCAGCCATCAACCCCTCCTCTCCTGGCATCAGAGGTCTTGCTGAACAGGCCAGATAGTGAATCTTCAACCCACCCTTCTCATCATACACAACTCTCCCTTCATTAACAGCATTTCGCAATTCCTCGCGCAACACTGTACGCTCACCTGTGTCTGGGTTCCATTCCCAGCCCTCCTTCATCCACATCCACCTCAAATATGCCCTTAATTCTTTATCATCTGGACGAACCCTCATCCATTCAGGCTGAAGTTTGGGATCTCTGTCCTCACCGTTCCAGCCCGTCACTCGCCCCAGTAGCTCATCCCGACAGAAGATGCGCCAGCTGTCTAGAGCATACTTGCCTTGCGTAAGGTGACCAATCTCCCAGGCCTCTAAACCTTGCCCATATGAGTCTTTGTCCACCAACAGTGCGTTACTTCCTTTATGTTGATAGAGACTCAATGGGTCGATATCCCTGTGGTCATACTTCTTCACCTTGTGATAGATGCCAGCGACTGGAGGCTGATCCAAGAAACCCCGAGCATACTTCTTCATCAGACCTACACGGTGTTCCGCAAGGCCGAGATGGCGCATCATCTCGACGAGCGATTCGGTGTTTTCTTCGCTTGCAATGTGTGTTGGGGTCGGAAATCGTTCTTTAACCTCATAAAATGTAGGGATTGCTTGTGTACCCTTGGTTCGGATCAGGAACGTCACCACAATCAGTAGCCAGAATGGTTCGTGAGCAAACTTCTCTTGGATAAGACCAAACTCCTGTGATGAGAGAGGCGCGAAGGGAATCGAAGGAACAGTTCCCCGCGGTGGTCGCTTTCGCGCCAATGTAATGGCTTGGCCAGCCTCATCCGATGCTGAAGTGGCTACAAAGTATGGTGAAATTGAACTTTGAGGCTTGACAATCAGTGTCTTGTCGCACAGAGCGACTTCTCGCGGGGAACCCTGCCCACCAGCAAGCTTATCAATACTCAGCGTTTGATAAGTCTCATGGTCGGGTGTTTGTGAATGTGATATTGTAGAGATACGTGCTTGCGAGGAAGCTAGAGGGAGGCATGCTCGATCTTTCCATTTCGCAAGGTTGTTACTCTCTTCTGGACGCCTCTCACGAGGCTGGTCAGACCAATAAGGGGATGTTGTGAGACAGGTCTTGGTCTTTGGGAAAGGCTTTGATTCAAGCCACTGTTGTCGGTGATTTTCGATTTGCTCGGTGATATGTGGTGGTCGTATTTTGGGGTCAACCTCGAGCTGTTTAGCCCGAGCAATAAGCCTGTCGGTTAATTCCCATGGCTTCCCGCCAGGTGGAGGATCCTGCCCGCTCAATGTGCACCAGACGTATGCGAGAACGTCTTGCGCTTGTAAGCTGTTTTTATCTTCTGGGCGAGCTCCTCGCATGGACTCGGCACATTCGATCAAATAATGCCAATCTTCAGCGCCTGCTAGCAGGCTCTCTTGGAGAAGCTCTTCGGTCTCTTCTGGTGCTTGATGCGACTCGATGACGTCGGCGAGGAAATCTCGGACATTTGAAGGAACATCGAATACGGAGAGGACATCGTAGCCGAAACGAGGCGTGGTGGAGCCACTCATGTTGATCAAGTCTTTGGTGAGGCTCAGGGATGTGTTGGAGCAGCTCGTCCGCTGCGAATATGCGTCTCGCTTTGATCGGAGCGGGTTTCCGGGAATGTAATAAAGGCCAAGAACCCGAATAATGCATTTAAAATGTTTTGTTCTAATAGCTTATTCTATGAGACGAACACTGATACTGAATTGTCGTGAGCGGATGCAAAGTGAAGTGAAATCAAGTGAAATCAAGTGAAATCAAGTTGATGAGATGAAGTAGACGAGGTTGAACTGTGTCAAATTAGTGATAAAATCAACTGAGCCAGTTCCAGGCACCTCATGGGAATGAACGAGGTAAACCAGTCTCCATAGCAAGATGTCTATTCTCTGCCGTACAGCACAGTCCCAGGCAGACTAAGGGTTGTTGTTGCTTTCGAACTTTTGCATTCTCATTCGTCTTTTGTCACCATGAGTCCTTTGACATCATACGCCGCCCTATCAGTCAGTGGTGACGAACGGCGAGGAAGTGAACCACATTATCGCAGAGTATTAGTGGAGCATCATAAATCGGCCCCACGATAATAGTCATTAGTGTTTGAGCAACCGAGATTTAGAAAATGAATATTTTCTTGATGGTTGACAAAATCAGTACGGCTTAGGGATTAAATACTGACGAGCCGAACAAAGTTGCCCTTCTGAGCTCAATTAGTTAATGCATACATTTACACAAGGCTTTTTATTCGGCTTGCGAGTACGTTGTAATGGTTTTTGAACCAAGAGCTAACCTGGACTTATGGACTGACGTTGATTGTTGACTGATCAATGATCCCTGAAAACAAGTCCTCCACGTGTCCAGGTAACCAGGTTGTTCACAGCTGCAATGATACCTGAGCACGCAAAGGCGCTAGCAGCCAGTCATTGCAGGGCCTTTTACCTGCACCTCGGCTTAGAAGTGCCGCCCAATTCTCTATCAGCGGGTACGCAACTCCCACGTCGCGGTGCACTTGCATGGTGCCTGGCCTTATCTGCCTTGGCCGCTTGGCCACACGTTGTCTCGGTAAGCCTCAAGTAGCGACAGGTCACTCATCACCCAGGCCTGAATATGGATAGATGCGGTGACTTGATACTGATATCTGGTTAGGTTGCGTGACGAAAGCCGGAGCAAGTTGCCTGGACAGACAGTTGTACAAATGTGAGAAGAGAAACATAACAACTATGTGTTTGACAGAAGCAACAGAGATAAACCATCTGTCTTCCCCCATTATTATATCTCTCCTCACCTTTAGAGTTCTTTAGCATCAAGTGACGCCGTTGCTCACCCCAAACGCCACTGATTGGTCAAAAGCCGCTCCGCCCGAGCTGTGGCCCGATTGGTAGGTCACGTGCATAGATCTTGCCTTCCGTCGCCCGTCCTCCCGTTCATTCTCCGCTCCGCTCAAATCCCTTTCTCTCGTCTCGTTAAGCCACCGCGCCCTCTCCGTTCCTACAGAACCTGTATCATCACCATCAAACCATCATCCAAGAGATGAGTAGTCGCGGCGGTAAATTAGCCCCAGAAGTCAATCGGTAAGTCGCTGCTCCTGTTACGTCTGGCACAGACCAAAAATCATCATTTGAAGTCTTGCGCCTCATTCATCACATCGCATTCTCGACCTCGATCGACCCTCGGCGATACGTACCTCCATAGTCTGACATTCGTTAACTGATTTCTAGAGCTCTGTTCGTAAAGAACTTGAGGTATGATAGGAACAGCGATGATAACCTCCCCCCGAACAACGACTAATCGACATCGACTCATAGTTACAACGTCACTCCGGAAGAGTTGTTCGACCTTTTCGGAAAATTTGGCCCAATTCGGTATGCACAGACCCCGTTGCTCGACACGCGAAACCTGTCATTAAAGACAACCTTCTTATCACTCTGAGACGATATGCGCTTTGCGATTTTATACTGACAGCCATTGTAGCCAGGTTCGACAGGGTATCGCCAACAACACCAAGGGTACCGCCTTCGTTGTCTATGAAGACGTAGCCGACGCCAAGCAAGCCTGCGATAAGCTCAACGGCTTCAATTTTCAAAACCGATACCTCGTTGGTGCGTCCTCCTTGTCACCCTTGCGTCACAATGGTTCATTTTTCGATTACTGCGTTGAACGTATGTACCGGGGCAATTGAATACTGACCGAAATCACAGTTTTATACCACCAGCCCGACAAGATGGCCAAGTCAAAAGAGGACCTCGAAGCCCGCCGGGAATCTTTAGCTCAGCTCAAGCAACAGCATGGCATCGATTGACAATCCGACCGGTCTGTGGATAGCCTGCCTAGGAACTCAAAATCCTCGTCTGCAGGCCGGTCTTCGTCTTCTCCCAAATTTCCTTCGCCGGATCCGAAGACGATCCTCCGAAAAGGCAGGACCCCAACCAAAGCAACTGCCAAGAGCCACGCATCCTCCCGAGTCGTCCGTTTCGATGACGGACTTCGACCTGCACTGACCTGTGCATGATGCATCTTTATCGCTTTTCGGAGGGGCTCTAAAACAGGAGCCCAAATACGCATCAGCTCTGAGGTGGTTTTACTATTGGTTCGGACTTCGCTTGACACGCAAACACCACTCCTTTACGGTTCTGGGAATTAGGTGCACTGGGGAAATTCAAGGTTGATTCAGCAAGTGGCGATACGACCAGTCACAAACTGCTCTTTTAAATGGCCTGGGATAGGAAAGGCCTTGATGACGTTGTTGCCTGTGGATAGCTTTTGTTGCATTTCGCGTCTCTTTGTTCCTTTTATTTTTATTCGATCTGGAAGCCTTGGCCATGAGAAGCCAACCCCCCTCGTTCACAGTTAGGATCTGCCTGATGGACTCGCGACCATACAGATGTGTGACGTACAAATGGCCTTGACTCTCCATCTCCCCGCTGGGGTTTTTACGCCGCGCATTCTACGAAATTTGAGATCTGCATCGGGGAAAGAAACGGGATAAACACTAGTAAACTAGATTGAAGTCGGTTTGTTTTGATAATGAGATCAGTTCTTCTCAAAATGTCTTGGCTTAGGGTACCCTTCAAAATTGAAGCTGCCCTGTGTAAGGACCGGGCCCTGTGAACAGTCTTGTCAGAGCTATGACACGTGAATCAGTTTGATAGACGAAACATAACTCTGTTTGAACATTGCTCACTGAGTAATCCATGTTGTAGCTGATGTTCTTACACAGACCATGATTCATAATTGTATTAATATGCCCTGCCATAGTCCGCACCAAAAGGAATCAACACAAACAAACTTCAGTCTCTCCACGACCATTGGCCAGCTGACATTAGGTGGCTGCATAGATTTCGTCCACTAGGAGATTCGAGATCCTGGTTGTAATAAAAAAAACACGACCAACAAGAGACACATGGATTCAATGAAAGCATGACCGCGGGTGATAAAATCGAACGGCCTTGTCGATCTATGGGTGCTCTCCTGAGGGTTAACTGGCTTGAGACTGAATCGTTGGTTCGTAGTAATTAGAAGTGTAGGCCGAGGATGGTTGTTTGCCCACAATTCAGTTATTCATCTCTCAAGAAGATGGCTCTTTGCATTAACGACAAGGCTCACTAAGATTTCACTTTACCTTTCAGGTTACTTCGGGCGCTATGTCTTTTGCATCTTGAATCTTCTGATATCTGAGGCTGTTTGGGAAGCATATGAGAGAATATTGATCGATGTCATCACATCATGCCACAGAGACGAAATACACACAAAAAAAAAAAAAAGATCCCAGGAATTCGTATTAGACAAAAAACATACTATGCCCTATTGGTCATTCACCCGGCTTGCAATCCCCCAGCCAGCCGTGGACAAGCCGTCTGCCAGCTCTCAAGGCTGTCGTTTGAAAAACGCCTTGCCAGGCATAAGACTGGCCTTTGCAAACGGTATGTTTCCCCGGTCGCATTAGGCTTGGCCTGCACTGCGGATAAGTTGCAAGACTACCGATTTACCAGTTGGGCCGCCGATGAGGTCGCCGTGGAGAGCTGTGAGTGGTTCTTTAGCCGCCAGACAGTGGGCTTATGGCTGAGTAGGTGGCTTTGAATAAAGTGAACCAACGTCGATTTCGCGGCAGGTATTAGTTTGAGGTGGAGTTGAAATAATATGATTTTCAATTGATTTACCAAGTTGACAATGTTAAGTGTTGACTCATCTTAAATATAGTTGATTCGATGAATGACAACTCCACGTGCACGTTTTAATCTACTTGAGTTAAGAATTCAGATGTAGCCAAGCCTATAGCAATCAATCATCTACCAACAAAGCTACCAACAACAGCTGCCTGCACTTCATTCATCTACCGAAGGAGTCATTCCTTCGATCATTAGTGGGTATCTCACTACCTGCACCCATTGCCATGGAACGCACCACCACCTGGGACTTCACAGCCACAGCTGGAACCTCTAGCTCTCTACCTATTGCGAGCTTTAAACAGTGGTCTACACTTATTCGATCCGGATCCAAGGCTACAGTTTCTGTTCTATCTTTATCATGATGCCTTGGGCCCCTCATGTGTCCTTGTACCCGGCCATGAGGCTTATCACCAACCATCAATGGCCGCAACTGGGGTCTCTCGATATAAGTCGGCGCCAGCTCCAGCCTTGTTGGGTCGGCATGCGATATAAAACCATAGAATAACCACTTCATGTTCTCATAAACACTACTACGGCATTGAATCTTCTTTTGAGCCGATGTATCCTCCTTCATCTCGTTTTAGTCGACTATCTCTTGAGAGCATGTCCCCGGAAACCCGCTCTCGAACCAGGGTTCAATCCCTAGGCCGGGAAACAGAGCAATCCAACCACGATGAATCATCTTCAGATTCAGATACAAGCTCAGATAGCTCTGACTATGGAGACTATAGTTCAGAATTCGATGATGACGATGAACCCTCTGCTATTCGATCCCCAACCAAACTCACATATCTCGTCGACCACCTCCCTGAAAACACCCAGTCAGTCGTCCGCGATACCTTCAAAGAGCCCCCAAAGATCGCCCTAGAAAAGTGCCGTCGCATAGACGATACATATGCGTTCCAAATGACAGAGCTTGTCACACGCTCTGTACGGATCCGCGCGCCACAAGACGGCACTTCCAACCTCAGCTGCTCATGTCGAGACGATGGGCAGCCTTGCCGGCACCTCCTTTGGCTTTTAGATCAGATCGTTAAACAAACTCTATACGAAACTGATCTCGGCAAGCCACTCAGAATGAACTCAGCAGGTTATGCTGAGGAAATGGGCGATGTTTTCCAAAATATCTCCAACTTTCGTCTTGATGTACTGGCGGAGGGACTTCATTGCCATCTAGTCACCCCAGACTCAGAATACAACAACGAACCTGACGCTTTCCGCGCTCAGGAAGCTCGAGAAATACTCTCCTCTGTCTATAACATGGACCCAGAGGACTTCCGGCCAGATATCTTTGACAAGGTTTCTCATGGCAAGAAGATAATCAAACGCAACGATCTGGAACAAACCATTTCTCGTATGCTTCTTGATAACCATCACTTCTTTCACTATTTCCGCTCTCTATCTCGCCCACAAGACCCTATCAAGGACATATTCTACAAACTTACTCAGCGCATTAACCGCGTTGTTCGAGATCTCGAAACCCCAGGCCAAGCTTCAGACCCTGGCTCTCCCCGAGATGTCATATGGGCAGCTTCACATATTCTAGGCTGCGTTCGTCGAATGCGCCACGAGATATATACACGCGAAACCCCTATTTCGGCAAGAGAAGCCTTATCCGCAGCTCGTAGCCTTGTGCACATTCTGGACTTGGTGGTATCTCGCAATACAGACCATGGCCCAAGACATACACCACGCATCGCCCGTAACCTTTACCTACGGCTAATTGGCGACCGAGATCAAGACTTCATTATTAACGTGCTGAATCTGATCCCCGAGGCTGCAAGCCAGTTTCTACATAACCTCGAGGAAGTTCTAGATAGGATTGAGATTTATGGAGCGCCAGCTGGCTATGTACAAAGATTCAGGGCAATGCTGGGAAGACTGAGAACATCAAGTACAGGATCTGGATTAAAGAGGTCTGTTCAGGGACAAATGGGTGGTCGGAAGACAAGGAGAACCAGATGAGACAGGAAGAGTCGGGCGACTGGTGGCAATGCACGTCGAAACTAAGCCTCATTTGTTGATATGAATAGCTTTACCAGCCGAATTCCACCTATCAAGATTCATGTAATAAAAATCAAGTAGACCACACTTGTGATTTGGAAGTTAGTGTATCAAACTCTGTTGCTTCTTGTTTAATAACTCGCTTGCTGTTTGCTATGCCGATGTGTGGAGAGTGCGACAGGTCCGGATTATACGATTGTTACCGCCCCCAGTCAAAAATTGAATCCCCTTTCATCGCGGAAGGCCTCAAGCTCCGCAAGGACATCCTTCAAACTCGGCCGATCATAATAGTTCTCCTTCCAGTCACCCCTCTTCATTCCTTCAATCCTTTGTCTGAGCCACTTCTCCGATGCATCGATTTCTCTCGACCACCATTCCTTGGCCGTCCGTTGCACCTCATCTGGGGTGGAGAGGCCCGTTTTCTCGAGCTCTCGGAGCACGAGCTGGTTCCTCTCCCTCACAATCAGCCTACTAAGGCCATTCTGCCTTCCGCGTGTGCAACGATCAATCAATTGCTGCATGGCTATAGGAGTCTTCGTGTATCCTGGAAATTCAACAAGAGGCTCCCATCGATACGAAAGCCAGACCGCGGCTCTTTGGGGAGCGCTATTCCCTTCAAAGATGCACCACAATACCCGACCAAGCATATACACCTCACATGCCTCCTGCTCCTTTGGTGTGAGACATGCCCATGGGACGTTATAGCCTTCGCATGGCCATTTGTACTCCTCGCTCTCACCCATCGCTTCCCACTGTGGGAGCATCTCTGTCAAGAGCTTCGAATACCTTTCGCTGACTTCTGCGGGTATTTCTTCATCGATAGCAAGAAGTCTCACGTACTCCAAAGCATTGACTTCAGGAGCGGCGAACTCACACCAGACTCCACGCTGTTCAAAATCAACCATAACAGCATCTCGGTTAGCTGAAAGAACGATATTGTCTAGCCTGAGATCTGGATAGAAGATCCTGGATGTTGTACGAAGATGCACCAATGCCGACGCTAGTTGTATAGCCCATTTTGTCTCGTCGGCCAGGAACACCATGTTGTGAAGCTTGAGAAAAGGAATCAGATCACGCAGGCTACCGTGGATATGGTACTCGAGAGTGAATCCGACAACAGCCACTTTACTTCCAAAACTGCATTTCTTTGTAACCAGGTGCACAGGACGGGAAACAATGTTGGGATGTGGTGGGATGATGAGTAGCTGCCTTAGCTCGTGATAAAGGTACTTGGTGTAACTGGTAAGTGCCTTGAAAATCCATATCTTGCCTCCGATTCTGACGAGGCAGACGCTGTCGTGTAGCTGTAAGACGTATACCACATCACTAAGATCGATCGTCGGCGGTAACTCAACATCGCTTCCCCAGGCGTTCTCAAGAGAAGCCACAGACAGAAGCTGGCGTTCAAGATAGTGAGTTGGAGCGATGGTGACCTCCGCATCAGCAACGTTCACGGGCATGTTCCTGAGCACAATCCTGGAACCAAAAGGAATGCTACTGAAGATTTGCAGAGGCTCCTGCTGCCGAGCTGTCCAGTTTTGCAGGATACGGAGCACATGTTGGGTGATTCCGAGACGCGAAATGCGCATTGCACTCGTGGTATGAAATGCCACATCAACGTCAAGTGCACTCCGAAGCTCCAAGGAGAGTTTCGAGGGCTCAGGAATAAAAACATCCATTCGAATGGGAGGCATCGAATCGATGAATAAAGGAACAGCATAGAACTGGCTTCCGAAAGCAGTGCAGCCATCGATGCGCCAGAGAGGTCGATCCAGTGGGCTGAGGCTATCAATGCGGTTCTTCGGGTTCAGCGATGATTTTTGCCAGTCAACAACATGGCTATCCTGAACTGCCGAGCCCAGTTGATCGATTGATGGAGGACCCGAGAAGGCTGCAGTAGGGTGGATAACATCGTGAATGGATTCCTGACTCAACTCCATGGCATGAGCTGATGAATACTCTGGACGCTGAAAGCTACTAGAAGACGGCCCAAGTCAGCAGCGCGCAGCGTTCCCCGGCAAATCATCAAGTACCTGCACAATGTCTTAGATGCTGCCCAACACAAACAGTCGGCTGTAGGTGAGGGGTTCCAGTCTCGGATGCAAGGCGACCAAAGGCTGAATAGTTGGCGAGGAGTTGTTGAATCGTCAGCAGCGTAGAGCAGCCGATATCAATCCAGGAAGAGAAATGACTCGGTTCGAATCGAAAGCAAGATTTACTGGACAAAACCGAACGTGTCACCAGTTAGCATCAAGCTTAGGGAAAAGAATATGCGTTATCATGCGACGACACCAAAGATGGATGACACAGCCGAATTGGGTTACTTTGGGTGGTTGGCTTCGATGCTCAGTACGCGGTTCTTTTTTGTCATGCTGTCTGATCACATGATCGAAGGAAGCCTGTTGGTTCTTGTGAACCCGAGAGTGACTGATCACAACTGGTTATTGCTGCGTGAGAAAGAGCGAACAAACATGGCAAGCAGTCGTCCGCGATGGAAATTGTCTCCAACTTCGAGGCTTCAACGACAAGATCCAGTTTCCAACTAAGTTCCACGCTTGACGCAAGTACCCTAAGGCTCCACCTGCGGAGAGGCAAGATGCCTGGGAAACAATTTTTTTTGGTTCCCAGACATCAACAAATCATCCATGCTTTGTAGAGGAATCAAGGCAGGTATCCGTTGCCTCCTGAAAACATGGGATCAGAACATCGGTCATAATATATGCTTGGATAGTTGCTTTTATTCCCAAGATTGTTGTGGCACGTCCCGTAAAATTTCGGTGCTCAACACCCGTGAGTGCAGCGAGGTACACCAAGCTAAGGCCATTAGTCTTGGTCTTCGCGGGAGTACAGGCGCTGTGATGGCTCAACGAGTTGGTGGTTTGTTTGCGTCTCGAGTCGTGGTAAACGAACGCGCAAGCTGATGAGAAGCCGGGACCGCATAGCTCGTTAGCGGTTCTGTAAGTTAGACACCGGCCACGGAAACAAGGATTGCCATTTAAAATGAGCGTTGATGAAATGCTCCTTGAATAAGCAAGATTCGATATGAAGAACTGCCTTGCATGAGAGATCAGCTGCAAAAACTGTGTACAAGCAGACAAAAGAGTTGGGCGATGAAACTCGCAACGAAGGATTGACTCAAGGCAGAGGGCACTATTGCAGTGACAGTTTCAGGGGAAGTTCGAACTGGGTGACATGGAGGAGTCTCTGGTGAGACAAGTCAAAGTCTTGGTCACGGCTCTCAGACAGTGTTACAAGGAAGTTGGGCACATTAATCAGTTCGAACACTGAATGACCTGACCCAGCTCAAGAAATCGGGAGCTTTATTAAGCGAGATGGACCAGGTATACTCCGTGAAGCATCAGGCCACGAGTGAGGTCAACCAATGTCTAGGTAGACAACCTCACCTAAGCGCTCGGTCAGGGCTCGTCCAGGGTCGATCAATAAAACCATCTCAGTCAAAAACAGCATACGACTTCCGCAATAAGTACCGTACCTGGCTTGGACAGATGAATGCCGACACCTGCCCCTCAAGTATCAACGTGGGGGAATACCGAGTTTCTGGGAACAAGGGCTCCTGGCAAACCGGTGAGCAGTCACATTTCTCATTCCCGAAATACCGACCATTTGGGATCTTGCGTATAGGTAACGTCATCCGCGCTGACTGGCGTGCCCTGAAGCAAACTGCATTGCGATATTTGATTTCTGATAACAAGCAGTGCCAGCCGACACCGAAGCGGGAGAGGCGCACCGGAGAACAATTATCACCCATGGATCATCCAATAGCGTTTTGACTATAACTTGCCTTCTTTCCCGGCCAGGCGGGGAGGCTTGGACAGTGCGCAAAGCTAGCATTGTAATGTCCATGGGCAGAGCTCGCGGAGCTCCCGAGTGGCTGCACTGACTCGTTCTGTTGCTGCTGCATTACCATACCATGAAAACTGGATAACGAGCAATGTCCATTGATACTGACGTATATGGAGCAGGGGTGGTTGGAATGACAACTGGCCCATGGCTGCTTACATGGCTGAAGAGAATACGGGCTTGGGCGGATGGTGTATTGACTACAGGCAAAGCAAGGGATCCGATCTCATATGTATAACCATCCCTTACCTGCATCCAGTACGTCTAGGTAGCACAGAGTCGACAGAGCGAGTTGTGGTTACAGAAATAATCAGGAGAAACTCCGTCTATTTCTATTTGAGGAACGGTTCGATTCGTCCCATCTAGAACGCGGGAAGACCCGTTGGTGGATAGAGACTAACGATATTAGTCCCTCCATGTGGCATCCATGCTCTTTTCTAGATCAACGAAAGAGTTCCTTATCGGCGCTTAGGTAGGGACAAGGTACTGGATCCGGTGAAGATTTAGAAGGCACTAACTTTGGATATGAAACTCATGGGTGTTCGATTACTTCCCAGTGTGGAAATCCGGTGAACGGTAACGGACCTTCCTTCCGTAAGTACCAACGCAGAGCAAAATTTCTAACGTCCATCAGACTTTACCAACTTGACTTGGACCTTCCTTCCTTGAGGGAAAGCGCAAGCGCCACTTAATTAACTTCCAATCACAGGATATTAGCAAGACACCTCTTGCAATCCCCCAAAGAGCCTAGTGATTATTTCTGCAACCTGCATAATAGTTTGCCATCCCATCCGACGTCACAGGTTGGCTGATATCGCCAGGAACCCATTCTCGCATCGAAAATAACTACACCTTGGCGAGAGAAGAGACAACATCGTCAAGCCAAGAGACGCGGACGCCGCCGCACATATCCCGTTTGCATTTTGATGCAATGTAAACCAGAAAGATGCAACCATATTCATGCAGAATCTGTGGCTGGGCCACACCTTGCTGGCGGCTCAAGGCCATGAGTTGCATCGTGCCGTTCGTTAGTGCGCCCGGCTCGAACATCAGCTACCAGGTTCTGTCGTAAGAAGCTCGCAATGATAACGCACACAACCAGATATTGATCGGACCGATGTTTTGGTTCTAATTCTCGGCCAAGAGTGAAAGTAATAGCTGTTCTCACCGGTTGCTGCCCCTGCCTCCTCCTTGTACCAACCAGAGCCTTTGCGTGACAATAGCACACAGGCGTCTTATCACATGGACAGAAGGCAGGCTTCTGGCAATGATCCAGATACTGGCAGATAGCACCACTGGTCTCAGATTTCCGTGAGATGTTGGCTGTTATCACTCGTCAGCCTTGGTCAAGTTGAGATGGGCGAAAGGGCAGCTGGAAGGGCTTGAAAGAACGCTCGGGCATTTGTGCGTTTACGATACACCACTGCATCCGAGTACATCTGGCAATCGGAATGTCCTCTTGGTTACAACCTTAACTGCTCATCCAGTGCTTGTCGAGGTATCTTTGCCTTTTCTCGAACTTGTATACAGTTACTCTCGAGAATGGCCCCTCAACGCCAGGCCTACGCCGACGGTAGGAAAAAAAAAAGATCTTTCTTCTGAACTGCTTGGCGATCAAAGTACCTTTGAGAACCTTTGCTACGTTGCGGAGTTGACGATGTACAGTACTTTTCCCCTTCCCTGGTGTGAGATACCCGGGCGGGTTGGCGTTGTGAGACCCTGTGAGTAAAACAGCAATTTACATCCAATCCTAGCTGAGCGGTTGTGCAGCCATGACCGACATTGGTCAGCCCCATGTCAATCACATGGCCATTTTAATGCACGAATTAACCGTTGACATGACTAGACTCCGTGGCTATGGAACAATGACCCGATCCGACAATTGTCAAAGAATTGAGCTGCATTATTGTCTGGGGATCTACGACCACGCACGATTCAAACCACCCTCATTGATCCGTAGCCAAGCTCCTAAGCCATGAACGAAGCCTTTATTTTTATTCTTTTTTGTTCTTTATAGTTTTGTTTTTTTAACCCCCACCGGAGCTGCTTCTAATAACATCTTTCACTACCTCCTACGTAGTAGATCGAGAAGTTCAGGCGCACTGAATCGGCAGGGCGGGTAATATCCCAAAATCCTTTACCTGAGCACTACAATCAGAAGGCCCCTGCCACTCCCATGGTACCCCTCAGACCGGTCAAAAACTACTCAGCACGAGGCCATGTCAACGCCGTCCTCACCGAGTCCACTTTCCTCTCTCACAGACTCGTTCATCACCGTTCCCAGCAGACCGTCAAGCCGTTGCTTGAAGCGCCCAACGCCCAGTCACTACAACCACCACACCGCCAGCCGCATACTTGCTCAGCCCGCAGCCCGCATCAGCCGTCATCCATACGATCGCGGCCGCAGGCATATTGTCCTGAATTCGCTCAACGGTGCAAGCACCAGTACCAGCACTATCAGCTACTCGCTCCACGTTCTGTCGCCAGTACCACGACAGCTCAGCCCGCCTTGTTACTAAAGTAGTGAACGAGGTGGACAAGGCTCCACGTCCTGTCCTAATTGTACTCAGGTTCGAGGTTCTCAGGTTGGCGGCTTCGAGCAGCACACCAATATCTCATCGACCTTCCATCTGTTGGCCAGGAGCCTCAATGACCTGATTGGGTTTATACTAACAGACCTACTGTTCGCCTTTCCGCCTAGCTTCCCCGGATTCTTCGCCTCCCTCATCACAGTGATTCTCTATTCCCGACCGTCTGGTATCCTTCTCTCGGCCGTCGTTTTAACTTCGGCCATCGCTGGCGCTCCACTCGGCGCACAACGGGGGTTTCAACGTCAAGTGCCCGGTGATGGGTTTCGTGGCACCTTAGCCTCCCACCACACTCCCCCTCTTCTCACCCCGGCGTCGCTCGATTTTTGACCACCGCTTCTGAGAGACAAACGGGGCAAGCTAGCTCTTCTTTGTCATTGACTGTATTTCGTCGAGTTTGATTCCGCGTAGTGGTACCTTGACCTTTGTCTTTCTGTTCTTACTACTACTGCTAGGCAGTGTTTGTTCCACACCCCGTCCTGTCTCACTGCAGCCATTATGGTAAGAGTTTCTCTCCCCGGTTGGCGGCAAGCTGCATGGAGTTATATCATCGATCCCCCGTCCCATCGTTCTATTTGCATGACCCCTGCGGCTGTTGCCAATCACCACCGTTTCCTCTTCTCATTGCCCCGTCGTGGCTCTCATGCCATGACTCCCGGACAAGCATCTTCTCCTTGATCGTGCCCTAGGCCCCTCCCCATGAGACCCAAATGTGCGGTGAATTGATTTTTTCTATAGAATCCACATTATCCTTCCAAAGTTAAGAGACCTCTCCTCCAACCGGGAGTTGAAGATCCGGGCTCTTCATCAATATCTTTCACCCCTCCCGTGAATGACAGCTTCACTGTTATACCATTTGAGATCCAAGACAATCTTCATCAACTGGCACAATTCTATGGAATAGCCTCTGGTTCTCAATTACATCACTTCATTATACAAGAGCATTGTAGGAAGAGAAGAAGACTGGAACCATCAGTCCCAATGACACCTGAGCAAGGACCGGCTTCGTCCCAGGGGCCTCTGATAAAACTCCCATTATCAGGACCTTACAGTCAACGCAATGAGCACTATGGGGCATCTTCAGTTTGGGACGACTGTGGCCAGAACTCAATGCCATCTTCTACTTCACCATTAGCAAGGCGTATGGCGGATCTGGCCTTGTTCTTCTGTCCATGTTGTGGCTGGGACCCAAGACATCAAGATGGTAAGCACCTGGCTCTCCTATCCTTGCCAGATCAACCGACGTACACCTGAGATCCTCGCTGACATCACCCCGAAAGGTTATCAACAGCTACCGAACTCTGCACCGGCAGTTTCTGGCCCAGATGTCCCCTATATGGCAGAAAAACAACCGTCTATGGCAATGCCATCATCTGAACTGTATGATAACACCGCTCTAAGCTCTAGCCAACAACCAGATTACAGCTATCAGCAACCAAACCTGAATGCTGCGCCTCTTGTCAGCTTTCCTCTCATCTCTGATCAGGCGGCGTTAGCGGAGCCTGTGATGAGTGTTACTGCACCAACTCATCAACCTCATCTTTCAGCGGGAGACTTCTACGTCGCCCAAGCTTTCAAAGATGAACCGCAGTTGGAGAATCAAGTAATGGTGCCCAGTCAACAGCTTATCACTAAGACGCTCCCACAGGTCGGATACAGTTCTGACCCTAACCTTATTGATACAAGTGCTATTACTCACCAGAGCTTGGCCCCACCCGACAGCGTTTCCCAATATGGTATGCTAATCAATACTCAACTTGAAGATGCTGTGCAGAACGGGTGGTCTCTAATGGATCAGCAAGCCAACTTTGAAATCGTACTCACTAACCAAAGAGGAGGAAAGAGAGGTCCGTTCAAGGACCCAAATCTTCGTGAACAAACTGCCCAAACCCGAAAAATTGGTTCCTGTATCAGGTGCAGAATGCAAAGAATTCGTGTAAGTAATAACTGTCCGGTTCTTTAACATAAGACAATCTCTTACTTGTAATGGGCGTTTTTGCTGGTGCGCAAAATCCACTAACCGTGTGATGCAGTGTGAAAACAACCCTGAAGAGGAGGGAGGGGCCTGTTTGACATGCAAGAAAGTCTCCAATTCAAGAGCGGGACGCTTCCCTTGCCTCAGATACAAGATAACGGATATCCGACTTTTCAAGCCGGGCCAAGTTCCCGGTTATGAATGGACACGGCGATGGACCAACAACATTTCGGATTCGATACAGAGCTGGGCTACGACTGAAGAGCCCAGAACCATCTATCTTTCCGAGGGATTGTCGAATAAATTTGTCAAGGTGAAGGTTCAACGATTCATTCCTCAAGCTGGTGACAAGCTGGAACGTACATGGGATTACAAGGGTGTCAAGAAATCAGTGACGATTCCTCCGTATGCGATGGTTAACCTTGAGGAGGCGAAGAAAGAGTACCTGGACCACATTGAGAATAGCATGCAGGATGCTTTTACCAAGTTGCTTGGCCCACCTGAAGGCCTGCTATTCCAAACGTACTTACGTGCTTGGAAAATCTTCAAAGACCCGTCTACTTCGCCGGAGTGCGTGGAACTTATTCATCATACACTCTTGTTGTGGATGTCGATTCGTCTGACAACGCGGTCGAGCTTCATTGTTGGAGAAGAGACTTTGGGGATGAAGCAAAATATCCTGGACGAAACGAACCCGAATCATGGCAAAATACCTCTTCCGCCTGTACTTGGCGCTCAGATGGATCTTATCCTGATTCACCACATACAGACCAAGCTGCGAAGAGAGCTTTTGGACAAACTCCAGAAGATGATGTCCAAGAACAAGCAGAGCACTTGGCTGGTGACGTATCTTGTGATCTTCATTCTTTTGCATAACACAGCTCTTATCACAGCGCATGATGCTGGATACGCGAAGAAGCACGGCATGAAGGTAAGAGACCCCTGAAGGTCGATAGTGGCCCGCGACATGGATAACGTTCGCTGATTATCGATGTACTCGCAGCGACGCTTTGCGCGTGAGGAGAAGGTCAGAGAATACCACCTAGGTGAGTTACACAACCGCCCCGGTCCATCCTGCACTGAAGTGCTTGCTGACTGGGGACTGAACAGGCGCAAACATCTTGCTCGCACACTTCCACTACTGTAACAAGGGTATCTACCCGTTCTCGGAAGGTTGCAAAGACCAAGACTTGCGAACACTGGCTGGCCTGGATGAAGAAAAGATCAAGTTTGTCCACCAAACTAGCAACTTGGCTAGACGACATGGTAAGTCGACCGTCGAGGACGTAGGACCATACAGGCTGGGACTAAGGCTCTCTGATTTGATGCTAACTTAAACTTTGTGGTTTCAGCGTTGCAATGGGAGGAACTCCGGGACAAGGCCGTGTACGAGCATGATTACTTTTTTGTCAGTCAATTGTTCGAGACCAACTGGCAACCTCGAACAACAATATGATCGGGTTTGGGTGACGAACAACATCTTGGATTGACTTCTGTGGTAGTAGGGAGGCAATGGGTGACTTTGAACCAACTGGGTAGGCGCAGAGTTTGAGAAGATGCTGTACTCACAGCGGAGATGCAGGAACTGAGACTGTATACGAGGCGAATGAAGGGGGGTGAATGCGGATGACGGCGGCAATAGTAACGGCCATAATGATGATGACGATGATAACGATAATGGAAATCCTTTCAAAATGCCAGGGTGATTTTGGTTACGAAAAGGCGGTCAAGGGCGGGTCAAGTATAGAGAAAGAGCCGAACTGGTGTGATGGTTTGAAGAGACATGACATGAACAGCTAAAATGGGTATGAATGGTTGGATGAAGATGCTATAGCCAAAGAGATTGCTCGTTCTTGTTCAGTTCCGACAAACCGCCACATGGGCCAGTTCACGAAACGGGACACGGCAAAGCAGCGGAAGTGGCGGGGAGGATGGCCATAGATGATACAATGTAACAGGACGAAACGAAGCGCAAGCAAACACAATGCGATGTGATTGAAGGGGATGACGGTGAGAGGAGAGGGACAGATACACCGAGAGTGTGTGCGGCCACCTACAGAAAGAGGCGAGAGTTTGCTCACCGAGTGTCGATGGGAGACGGGCTGCTGCGTTTTTGACGGCTTGCGCATCGTTGCACAGAAACACGAGGCGGATCAAAGGTTTATATGTACCAAGCTCGCTGAGGGTTGGCTCGCGGAGGGATGCCGGACGGGCCGGGCCTGGTTGTGCGGCACTTGACAAACCCCCGTGCCATGTTCATACCACAGCTATGCTCTGGCTTGGCTTGGCTTGGCTGGTCTGGTAGTGTAGGTATTGTAGCACTGTGGACTAGATGTGCTTCCTACATGCTGTGTGATTTATTAGTACGTCTATTATTCACGTTGTGTATCCCTCGGGAAGAGCGGAGAGATGGCGAAGGAACGAACGGAAGAGAGTATGAAATGAGACGCGCCTATTTGCATATCCCTTGCCTTTGCTTTGACTGTCGATTGTTGACCGTCCGAGATCTCCGCGTCGCCTGGGTATCATTGTCTGGCGTTGGTTTGACGGGGAACCAGTAATTAGGGCCCGAGATACCAACCAAAGCTAAGCGGGTGGCAACGGATAGTAATCCGTCAACCAATGGCGCTGTAAAACACCTCAAGTAAAGTTTAACCATTGCCAAAGGATCAATATCGACTGCCGTGTTTTGGGGAGCCCTTGTCGAGTTGTTGAACAGACACAATACTACTAGTCGTAGCACAGCTACGGAGTACTACTAGTAGTTACTGTAAAGGTGACGGCAGCCAGCCACAGATAGATGAGTGAGAGACCAACAAGGTGCACACAGTATGGAGCAAGCCAATGGTGAGCCACTTTTAAAACACACCTAAAATTAACAAAGCTATGGGGTAGCTACTGGGGGATCAACACGAAGGATCATCCTTTACCATGCTACTGCAGTTGGGTTAAACTAGGATTGGGCTCTTAGCTGAGCTTGAGTCTGAGCCTCTCCTAGTCTTAGCTCATGTTCATGCCTAGCTTTGGTGTTTTGCTTTTCTCAACTAGTCTACAGCTTGGAACCATACACATCAATCAACCCTTGCTGGGCTAGCCTTGGTACTTCTATCAATTTTCCTTCTCCTTTCTTTTTCTTATTCCTTCTGCTCTAGTCGAGGGCCCGGACCGTTTTCACAAGGAATGTTACAGTGCTCTCTCGTCTCGTCTCGTCTCGTTTCCTCCTCCCTTGTAATAAGAGGCCACCCAGAGTTTATGTTGCTACCCAGGACTTTTGAGCAACCCACTGGTGACATGGAAGCGAGGAAACCACGAATGAAGTACAGGATCAACGGCAAGGCACTTGCTCACCTCCAATTGATACTTCAGAGTTCGTCTGTTCCTTCCGTTTCCCGCCCTGAGATACCGGTACCTGACCAGGCACTTCCATTGTTCTCCGAATCCCCCCAGTCAAGCCAAGTCGTTAGCCATCGAACATGGCAGGAAATTCAGCGTTTACCCGCGTTGCTGGGTTCTGTTGCAGCCTCCTGCCGCCGCGTATCTGCGACCTGCCACGAGCACGGCTACGCAAGTACCCGATCTACGTATACCTTGCCTCCATCCCGGCCAACCTGGAAGTGCCAACCCGATGCTATCTCAACAATCCTTGTGTAAGTGGTGTAGCTAGGTCCTAAGGTAGAGGTACTGGGGATTGGATGGATGTGGAAGCCACGGAACGAGAAACAGATCTAAGTGAAAATTTTCATTGTACCTGCCGTCTCTCATCGAATCCGAAGCAACGGGAACAAAGGAAGCATGGAAGAATGTTACACAGCTTCAACATCCTTCCCAAGAGCCGCACATCCAAGGAGCTTCACCTCCATCTCTAAATTCGAACAGGGCTACCACCTGTTTCCAAAGATCTTGGAAAAGCTATAATAATACCTTACTAGCCTCCTGCTTAGTCTGAACGTTCTTTCGATATTCCCCAACAATCTCAATCTCAATCTCGCTCGTCAAGAGCTGTTCGTCTGTGCTGCAATTTGCCTGCCATCTATCGTTGTTGCCGTTCTTTGAATAACTTACACCTCCGTCTTTTCCTCCTTCCTTGGTCGCTGCTACTCTTTCTTGATCTCGACTGTAAGTTGCGCCTTCTATTCATGGTACTCTTTACGAAATTTCGAAATTGGAAGCGCCTCCAACGTCACTGTACCTTGCTTAAAGGCACTTGCCACGATAGTATCAAACGTTCCTTTTCTCTTCTGTTTTGATCTCCGCCGTTCATCTGGCAAACACATTTAAGCAGACGCCTCGCACCACCGAAATTCCCATTCCTTTCCTTCCATCCTGTTCATCTCTCTTGTTATAACACCCCAGCACACCTACAACTCACATATCATCTTTCATATTCGATCTCGTCTTGATCCACTTGTTCTCCACGCGGATCCTGACTTACACCAGCAGTCATCAGACAACGGCCCGTTGCGTTTCGTAACGTAGGTTCTTAACAAAACTTACACATCCCTCTTCTCATGTAAGAGGCTGGCTGACAGAATACCTCAGTATCAAGACACCCCCACAAGCCACCAGCGGAATCTCTCTTTCAGGAACCATTAACATGGCATCTTCCATAGCTGGGCCTATCATTGGCCCGAGCCCGGCCGTTGAGCTAGCTCCTGCGGCCGCCGGCTGTGTCAGTCGCGTGGCAGATGTGCCGGCTGGGGTCCCCGAAGGGTGGCCCAAGTTTCTCGACGGGTCCATGGCTTGGGCTGGTGCTCAGTTCACGGATGAATCGGAATACATCCACACTCTCAGCGAATCCGATCTACAGGAAGCTGAGAAAGCTCTGCTAGTCTTCAAAGGTACGTCTCTTTCAGTGAAGCGCCGCTTCCGTGGCGTTCAGCATGTGGCTAACACCAGCCAGCCTTGGGACTTGACGGGGATTGTGTCTCCCGAGACAACTTCCCTCTTCCCACTCTGGGATCTAGACTGGATCGTATCCGCCGAGACGTTCACCAAGGCAAGGGTTTTGGTGTCATTCGTGGCCTCGATCCTCAAAAGTACTCAGTCGAGGACTTGACTGTGCTGTATCTTGGCATTCAGTCGTACATTGCCAATTGTCATGGGCGTCAAGATCGAAAAGGCAATATGCTAGGTTGGCTCTCATCTCCCCATTCTCTTGGTTCTTTTCCACTGACATATCTGTAGTCCATATTGTCGCCGACAACTCATCCAAGCTCAAGGCTGGTCACCATCGACACTCCACCTCTCCCATTGTATGTTCATCTCTCTTTTTGATCCCTTGAAGGAATATTCAGCCAGGCTAACTTCCACTCTAGACTTTCCACAACGAGGAAGCTGGTGACATAGTCAGTTGGCTCACACGCAGCACGGCTGTCTCGGGAGGCAAATGCATCATCGCCTCAGCCTACACTGTCTACAATGTTCTTGCTGCTAGCCGTCCGGACATGGTCCGCACCCTAGCTCGTTCTGACTGGCCATTCGCCCTGTAAGTTCAGGCACATGATTATCTACATCCTCTGTTTTCATGTTTCTCTCATCCCAGTAAGAAACGAGGAGTGCACCAACTGACACGCTATGCTGGGATAGGCCCCGTTTTCAGTGCCGACCAGTCTTCTTTCATCACGAGGGGAGAGTGTTGATCAACTTTGGGCGTGTAGCTCTCACGGGAAATGCAGTTCACCCACGCCCTACTAACCTTCCCGCCGTTACGCCACGCCAGATGGACGCATTGGACTCCATCGAGAACATCGCCAAGGCAACTCAGCTGGAGATCAGCACACGTGCAGGTGACATGCATTTCATTAACAACCTCACAATCTTGCATCGCCGAGAAGGTTTTGTCAACGGTGAGGCTGCCCAGGAACGTCGACACTTGGTGCGCATGAGACTCCGCGATGATGAGCTGGGATGGAAGCTCCCTGCAGACCTGAGACAAGAGTGGTCCGCTGCTTTTAACAAGGAAACACCCAAGATCTGGCACATTGAGCCCATGCCAGACGGTTTCTTTCCCCTCAGGTCTCAAGCCAACTAAGGCTGGGCTTCTAGCGCTCAGAGCAACCTCAGTTGTGGGGTGAACTCGCATGCATGAATGCATGCTCGCGAGATATGATGAGATAATGGGGTGCTTATCGACTTTGGAACCGAGGCGCATAAGAAGGGCAATGGGGACTCTGAGGGTAACGGGAGAGAAATCAAAAGTTACGGATAAGTTCCTGCACCCGGGTATTGAGTATGTTTTTTTTGTTTTTTTTGGTGGGGGTGTCACGGTCACGGAAAAGCAACAAGAATGGTTTATTATGTCTCGGGTGAACCTGTCTATCGGTACAGTGTGGTATCTTCGTGGACATGGCAAGGATGGGCTTTGGTTGAAGAAAAAAAAGAAGTCAAGGATTAATACGTGTGTTTATTAAGGCTCATACAGGATTAGCACCTACTAGGGACAGCCGAATACAAGGAGTCGCATGCATAACTTAGATCGACATGCTCAGGCACAGAAGACTATCAAAGTGATATGTGATAGTGTGACAAGTCTAATTTGTATGTGCACCAAACTACAAGAAATGATTCGTTTAGGTTGGGAATAAGCCGGACGTCTCACAACAGAAAGGTGTGTGCTCTCCCATTGGCAGCAGTAGGGAGAAGTCAAGACTGTTGGGGGTGAGCTATTAGCATGCAGATCCCTTGTCCTAAGGTTCCTGATGCTGGAGAATGTTGGAATCAAAGATGAAGATATAGCGCCAGACGAAACGAACGCATATCCATAGCTACAACCAGGTAAAATGAGACAACGAGGCTTGAAGGCTGGCGGAAAGCCGGCATAAGACTTAAGGCCATGGGGGTTGTGACTATGGTGGTGACCAGGGATGGAACGCCTTGGTGGGGGGACTTGTCCAATGTGAGAAGACACCAAGGAAGGTAATGTGGCTGTTTCTTGACGAGAGTTGTCTGCTGAAACAAAAATAAGATGAGATAGTGGTCTCAGATTTGGAACAGATTTAGATGGAATGACTGACACATGAATGACTTGCTTTCGATAGTTGGTCAAGATGTGCTTATTTTCAGATGATTGGTTATGTTGGCATAGTGAGACAGTAGAGACAAATTTGGTAATGGATGAAAGGCGAGAATGTAGCTCTCATGGTCTCGGATTTTATCTGGATTGCTTCTGTTGGAGCGAAAATAACTGAATAGGCCTTTTGCTTTTGCTTGGCTGAAGCCACCAAGGGTTACGTCCGGTGAACTTGCTTTGTATTCTATCGTCGTCTCGGCGTTGTCTCTATACCGATCCACCTTGCATTAGATTTTGTGTCACGAGGAGGCTTTTTCCCTTGTCCTCGAAATAAACTTCGGTCATGGATTAATGGCGGTCAAGAATGCCTAGGATCGATGACGAGGTGGTTGACTTTCAGAGCAGATCAAAGGGAGGAAGACGCTAACTGTCAGACGACCCGGGGGCAGATATGCTTCTGTTCCTGATGTGTGATGGCTGTTGATACCATGATAGGGTAGCAAGCAGCTTGTTTTAAGACGTGAGTCATCAACGAATTGTCTCTCACGGAGGAACCCCGGGTTTATATTGCGCTTTGTGTCTTGGAAACAATGATGGCTGGTCTGTATACGACAGCAAAGTTATCGGCATCTTGCATCTCATCATGATGGTCTTCGAGACAACAACGAATGACGCTAAACTTTGGCGAGATTGGTAAGAAAGGATGGGCTTCGATATGCGACTAGAATGACGGGTTGCAACGTAAAAGAAGTCATATGCATTAGGGTTATGGATGAGGCGTTGAGAGAAGAGGCGACGACGACGACGACGACGACGAGGTTTACGTGCTCAAAATAGATAGAAAATTAGACTCGAGATCTGATATGAGGTGGAAACGACGGTGAGATCCCATGAGATGAGATCCATGGTCACGGGGTCGGCGATCCTGGCGCTTGTTTCTGTTATGGATATTAAACGACCCGGCAATATCAGTACAGTGCTTGTAACAGTATCAATTCATTTGTCTTCGCCCTGCAGGGACGCTAGAAAAAGCCCCTCAGCGTTACGGACAGCTGAAGATCGGATTCCTCCCCCTGTCTAACAGGGCTTGAAAGGGATCCATGATAGCACAGTGCATGGCTGATGATCCAATTGGCCACCTTCCCCTTGCACCAGACGAGCTACTCCTAACGTGCAGGGGCAATCAATTCGACGCCTCAACCAATCTTCAAAAAAGCAACATCAACATCAATATCATTAAGCAAATCGAACTCAGCAGCATCGAATTCTAGCGCCTGTCGTCTCAGAGCGACACCCCCGCTCGCTTCTCCTCTCCTCTCTTCCCTCCATCGATATCCAAGGGCGTAGATTGAACAGATTGTTTCATCGACTATCCACTGTCGTTGAGATTACTTCTCCTAGGCACAGCCTCGTGCCAAAGGGGTACATCCCACAACGCAATCCTCGCTTATGCTGGTCATAGAGGGTGGTCATTGAGACAGCATAGTTATCGCGCATCGACTTGCAGTTTACTCATCAACATCGAACCAGCCTCGTATCACTATGGCTGCAGCCTCAGGAATTCTCAAGCCAAAAGCCGTCCCGGGTGCTTCGGGTTACCAGCCAGTGCATCAAGATGAGGGTGATGGTCACGATGATGGCCTCAGGGAGCCTCCCGCTCAACCAATCATTCCGCGTGGTCCAATTCGCTCATACAGGAACACCATAATGCTTCTCTCGGGCCTTGTCGTTATTCTTATGGCCACAAACCTCTATCTTAGTCTTCCACTTGCCTTTTCCGGCTCCGGGTCATGTCCGGGTGACCCACCCCGAGTTCCCCAGTATTTCCAGACCTCGCCGCAACTATGGCCCGGCATTACTGAAACTGGAAAACCGGCTTTCATGGCACAAACTCATGTCTTTGAGCCTACTGCCACCTTTGTACCTAATGATCCGTTGCAGACATCTATCCCGATCGAGGGCATGAAAGAGGGTAACCGAAGCATCTTCCAGATGATGGGTTACCTGAGTCCTTATTCTCCCTCTACTGGCTTCGGCGTGGACGAGTATCCTATCCCTCCAGGTGCTGAGATCGTTCAGGTCCAGATGCTATCTCGCCACGGTGCTCGATATCCAACCCCAGGCTCGAACGTCGCAACCCTTGGTGAGCGACTTGCCAATGTTTCGACAAGCCTCAAGACCAGCGGTGCCCTTGAATTTCTTATGGACTGGAAATACGAACTCGGAAAGGCTATCCTAGTCCCGAGGGGCCGACAGGAGCTCTTCGAGTCTGGTAAGAGGTTATCTGTTCAGGACTATAAACTTAAAACTGATAATGAGTACAGGTGTCTTGCATAGTTACATGTATGGTAGCTTGTACAACCCTCAAAGCAAACTCATCGTCCGAACTACTGTATGTGACCTGATTCATATATCACCTAGCTCTTGAGATACTGACAGTGTGTAGACTCAGGATCGCATGCTCAAATCTGCAGAAAACTGGATGGCTGGCTTCTTTGGCCTTGAGTGGTAAGCGTGGTTCAAGAAAGGTATTTGCCGCATTACTCTGACAGTAGTAGGACCAATAATGCCACCATCGAAGTGATCATTGAGGCCCCTGGTTTCAACAACTCTCTTGCTGGAGGGCTGAACTGCCCCAACTCCGACAAAGCGGACTACGTAACCCCTGTAGCCGCATGGTATGAGGAGTACCTCAAAGACGGTATGTCTCTCCGCTGGATATTGCAGACCAACGACTAAAAGTCACCTAGCAACTGCCCGATTCAATAATGTGACTCGGGGTTTCACGTGGACATCAGCAGACGTCTGGGCTGCACAAAACATGTGTCCCTATGAAACTGTTGCATATGGCTTCAGCAGATTCTGCGATCTCTTTACATACGAGGAATGGGAACACTTTGGCTACTCCATCGATCTCGGTTTTTCTTCAGGCGCTGGGTTCCAAAGCCCAGTAGGCGTAAGTTGACTCCTCTGGCAACCCCAACCCTGCTAAAGAGAAATACAGCGAGCTACTGGCCTTGGCTACCAGCAAGAGGTCATGGCACGGCTTAAGAATCACACACTCGGTTACTCCGGCTCCCAGATCAACACGACTCTGGATAGCATGAAAGAGACATTTCCTCTGAACCAAAGTCTTTACTTTGACTTTTCTCATGACACCAACATCATCTCTATTCTGACAGCCTTTGGTCTTCGCCAGTTTGCTGAGGAGCTTCCCACTGACAAATACCCTGGTGAACACGAGTTCGTTGTTTCTAAACTGACTCCTTTCGGTGCGCGTTTAGACATCGAAATCATTAAGGCGCCCAGCCCCGTCTCTCCAAAGAGAGACGGCTACCTCGATGGCAAAGAGACGAAGTACATTCACTTCGTACTCAACCAACGGACTGTGCATCTGGGCAGGAGTTTTCCGGAATGTGACGTCAACCGCAAGGACGGCTGGTGTGAACTGGCTACATTCATCGAGGTTCAGGATAAGATGGCAGATAAGGCACAGTTCGACTACTCTTGTTTCGGAGATTACCCTTCATTACCATATGGTAAGGTAACAGACGGTGTGCCCCCTTCTTGAGAAAGTGTGGCCTGGCATATAAACATATAATTTATGTGTAAATATGAGATGCCACCTAGATCTAGCAAAGCGATCAGTGCCGTTTAGTTACTTTATTATTAACAGTTAGAATTAGCGCCACATGCACTTTTGAATAAATCCAAATGCCCTAGGTAGGCATTTGGATCACGTTTCAAACAATTCGAAGAAAAGACTAAAGCAACTTCAAGTCCTTTCGCTGTTGGTAGATTTTGACATGTAAAGATATAATATATAGTGATCTGATTTTGTAACTGTCTATAAGACCACATGACACAATTATATATACGTATCCAATGGCCTGCATCGCTTTTCCAAAGCCATCCACATCTACCAAGCGGGTATTAAAACAATCCAAGGCAGATACGTCGAAAAGATGGTAAATCCGTAACGCCTTTGCCTGCTACTCCCAGCATCCCATAAGTTAATGAAAAGAAATCCTCGCAATAAAATGAACCCTCTATATCAAACAAGGCTAATATGACTCGCAAAGATAAAATTGCCGTAAGCAAGTTTAAGCATGCTTCTCGGCAATCACCGCATCGGGTGCAACAACATCGGGTGTGTTGAGAGAAGGAGTCTTGCGGACGTCATCGGATTCGCTTGGGTTCATCATAGACTGATGCTCCTGGATGCCATGGGTAGGCTCAAGGACATCACCATCCTCAGCGGGCTCACCACGGTGAGGGCTCCAAGCAAGGAAGTCTCGGCGGACCTCAACGTAGTCGTAAGAGAACTCGCCGTGCTGATCGTCATCCATACCAAGGAGCTCAGCCTCCTCAGATGCACGGAGCTTCAATCCAGGAATGAAGTCGATGATCTTAGCAATGATGGCAGACATGACGAAGGCATAAGCGGAAGCGGCAACAATGGCAGCGATTTGCCAGCCAATAATGACGTAGTTTCCATCCATGAAGCCACCTGTAGCACCGGTGTTGACGCCGTCGAGGCCAATGATGGAGCCACGGGCGAAGAAGGCGTTGAAGATGAGACCAACGATACCACCGACACCGTGCTCGGCGAAGACATCGAGAGAGTCGTCAATTCGAACAAGGAACTTGACTGCAGATGAGGTCAGCGATTGTGTGTAAACAGAAATGATAAAACAACTTACTCTTGGTGGCAAAGTTACAAGCGACACCAGCAACTACACCAAGAATGATGCTAGCCCAAGGGTCGAGGAAACCGGAAGCAGGAGTAGCAGCAACAAGACCAGAGATAGTGCCAGAGCACCAGCCGACCATGGACCACTTACGAGCCAGGCGGAAATCGAGAATGCACCAAGTCATGGCAGCAAACATGGCAGTGAGGCAGGAGTTCCAGCAAGCCATAACAGCACGGAGGTTGGCACCGAAAGAAGAGCCACCGTTGAAGCCGAGCCAGCCAAACCAGAGGAAGATGGTACCGAGAGTGATGAGAGAGATGTTGTGAGGACGGAAGTTCATCATCATCTTCTCGTTGCGGCGGCCGAGAACCCAAGAGTAGGCGAACGCGGACATGCCAGAGCCAATCTCGACGGGAACACCACCAGCGTAGTCGAGAACGCCGTTAACGAAGCCCCAACCGTTAGGGTTCCAGACCCAGTATGCGAGAGGGCAGTAGACAAGAGTAGCCCAGAAGAAGATAAAGACCATGCTTGGAACAACGCGGCCTCGCTCGGCGACAGCACCGACTGTAAGAGCGCCAGTGACGGCACAGAACATCATCTGATAGAAAGAGTAAAGCAGAGCAGGGACAAGAGGAGATCCGACCGAGGGAGCACCCCAGACCTTCATAAGACCGAAATGCTTGAGGTCACCGATGAAGGGGTTGTTGGCAGTTGTAGAGAAGGCGAGAGAGAATCCCCAGAAGTACCACTGGAAGACAATAACGGAGAAGGACATCATGACGACCCAGAGCATGGAGAGAGCTGATTTTCTTCGGGCAAGACCGGAGTACAGGAAGGCGATGCCAGGGACCATGAGAAGGACGAGACAGGCGGAGAGGATGATGAAGGCCTGGTCACCAGATTGGTACCATTGGTTGAGGTTTTCGGTAGCTGGAGAAGAATCGTGTTAGTATTGGATTGTGATGATGAGCATTCGCGTTGTCGACGATGAAAAACATACTGGAATCACCACCAAGCTCTTCGTTGGTGCCATTGAAGGCAGTCGGGGGTCCAGGGATAACATAAGACATGTTGGATTATTGTGTGTAAAGTATCGTGGGATCTCGTTTCGTATGTTCGTCGGATTCGAATTGTCGAAAAGATGGAAGAGGTGAGATTCGATGGAGCTGAGCAGATCCTTCTCACGTTGAATGACGAGCAAGGTCAAGTAAGTGAGGAGTGAGTCCTGAAGAGGAAGAGCAAGAGGAAGGAAAGCTCCACCGGTTATAGGAAGTTATGGAAACAACCTAGTGAGATAAAAACGGAAGGGAATATGGAGAAGAGAAACAGGAAATGAAAGTGACGGGGCAAGACTTTAATATAATTGTTTGACATGCCTACATGCCTCACTCTCCAGTACTATTCTACCTATCTAAGACTCAACCCAACGCCAAATCCATATCCATACCCATGCCGGCCGCGGGTCTGTCTCCATGAGCCAAAAACGCCATGGATGTCCTCGGCGTGGGACAATTTGTTGCAGATCTCCTTGTATGGTACGGGCATAGATAGAGGCGCGACACACAATGAGAGACAAGAGATAGAGATAGCAGCAAAGCTGAGCTGGGGGGCCCAGAGATAGAGCCCAGGGCAGAGATAGCATGTCTAAGGGTACGTACCAGCATGGCTCAGCCTTTCACAGGGCTGTACAAGCACCCGTGAGTCGCTGTGATACCGCCATAGATTGATCTGATACAGCGTAGTAACCAGTTGGACACATACAAAAACCACAAACCACTAACCATCTCATGGATGTTTATCGGTACGTACCCCCAAACTGATAGAGATAAAGATAGCGGCGCCTGCATGCTCTGTCCAGGTACCGACCCTAGCGTCGACGCGCTTACACGTCTTTGGTAAGGCGTCTACTATGTCGACTCCTCTCTGCGCCGTTCTCGGCTGGTTCCTGGGTTTCCAGATCGAAGAAACACCCCTGTCTTTGTCGTCTCGTCCCGGACAGAGTCCGCATCACTTTTTAACACGCCCTCCGAGTAGCCCGATCTTGACTTGAACTTGCTTTGGCGCTGAGAGGCTTCGCATTAACAATGCACTGCCCAAAAGGAAGAAGGAAGCGTACCGTGCGTGGAAAGCCTCACATTGTTTGGCACGCATGGCCAGAAAGAAAGTGTCATACAAGTCATATCCCATTTATACATACAAGAATCATCCCTCGTGTAATCCAGAAATTGTGTGCAAGACACTGTGCCACCAGTTGCAAATGGGGGCTGTCGTCTTGGGCATCAGCCGTCAAAAAAAATCTATGCACGAAACCTGAAATCTCCCATCTCATTGGACCGTTAGAACCTGGGGAGAAAGCCAGAAAAAAAGACGGGAAAATCCTCCAACTCCAAGGGATCCCCTGGGTCCTGGGGTCTGGAGTTTGGGGGGCGCCGTTGACGTGTGATATCTCAGAACGAAGCGTGGGGTTTTCTGTGTCAGAGACCTTCGTTGACAGATTGCTGCATGTTTGAGAATCAAAGATCATGGGGGAAGCTGGCAAAAAGAAAAATAATCTTAAATATTGCCTGGGCATGGATGACAAGACTCGGCTGATATCCGTAGATAGATATCGAGCCGAAATTTGAGCAAAGCTGAAGTTAATCTGTTCAGCTGGAAAGTGTATGTACTGTCGATACAGGCTTGATACGATGCCAAGCCTCGCCGTTGTCGGTTCAAACTACGTAGCCATCCCAGATGTCTATCCATTCCGTGATGATGAATTCTTGACTGAGGCCTTGCAACTTGTGGATCGGGGCGAAAAACGGGCATCTTGATCGGAGACTAGAAACTGCTTGGCTCGGTGATCGTCGTGTGTAAATGCGGAGAGGGAACCAAGAGGGAGGGTTGGTCCGATTTACTAGGCCAGAAAGGATTATTCCATTACGGTGAGCGATGTGTAAAGCTGTTTGATTACATTACTACCGCAAAACCTCAGTTCTTGTCAAATACGTAGGTAATATCTGGGGAACGTGAGGTATGGCTGAGGCATCGGCTACGGCTACAGCTACAGCTCTTTTCGTCCCTTGCTTCTTGGCTCTTGAGAAGTCACCCGATAATTGTATTGAAGATCGAGTGAGCAGCTTCTTGGTCTTGGCTGATCTGATAAGTTAGATTGTCATGTTGGTTGGTATCAAAGTATTGTAATGCATTTCTGTAACATATCGAAATCATTTCAGTAACAGACTTGGCAAGATATACATACAAATGATGAGACCAGCAATCACTGCATCTTCAACGTCACTGCACACTTGGGGATGATTTCGTTCAGAAAAATAACCTTCTTTTGCTTCCCTTTTACCTGCGTCTTACACGTGAACCAAGCTGCCAAGATATCGTACGCATCATCCCGTTGCTGAATCGTTGGCGTCACTCAGATAAGAGAATCTTTTGCCTGCGATTGGTCCCCAGGTATCGGAAGCCGTCCAAAAACGAGGCATCTCATTTGGCGCCCTCTCACGTGTAAAGAGCAATTGTGCATGGCTCTATTTTTCTTATCAGACGCAGAAAGTAAAGAAGGTTGTTGTCGTTGGTTTTTTGTGGGGGGAGGCTTGATCGGTACTTGGGTACTCTTCCAATTCATGTGAGTAAAAGAGTTGTTTAATGAGAACAGGGGTAGATTGCTAAATTCATGGACACATAGTAACTCGCCAACCAATCACAAGCCTGACGCTTTATTCCACGGGGACATTCTCATCAGTTCGGGTTTTTCGATGTTTGCGCTCGTCAAAACATTTCATCAATTTATTACTTATTTATGCTATTCATATACAGTAGTGCTCTCGTGGTTGCGAATCTATCAATCTCCCCATGTTTTCTTGTTTCTATTTTCCGGACATCGAAATCCGATCTGGCGGAAATCCAATGGCAACCCAAATCCATCGCTTGGCTACATACAAACCTTGGCGGTTGCCCTGCATCTCAAGCTGACGGGGATAAAGGCTTGGCCCTGTATTCCGGGGCATCCCGGTAGAACGGCAGCCGGATGCTCACTTCCGTACCGTTGCTTCGGAGGCATTTTGGGTCCGCTCCGAGTTTTGGTGCCGGCACTTCAGTTCTTGAACTCAAGTCTCAGCACACATATGATCATTTCGGTGAGACCGCACAAGAAAACAGGGATATCGCTGAAAGTTACTCGCTTTCGAAGAAGCACAAGAAAATACTTGTTCATCTTGATATGCAAGATACCTGACCTGATGACTGACCGTGGTTCCCTGTATATACTTGAATGACGTGCCATGAATATTCAACTCCAGCTCCAACTCCAGGCAAAAAATAACATCATCCCCAGATTTTACCCATCCAATCAAACACCTTCTATCACAAGCTGATCAGAAATGCTGTCCTCTTTCTTATCTGCCCTTGCATTACCTCCACCAATCAAGACTCACCCTACCATCAAATCAATACAAATTACACTTGGTCATGTCCGTCAGAAACAAGGTTTGTGCACCCCCCTCTACCGCTATCTCTACTATCCTCACTCCTCTCCTCTTTCTATTCTAGAAGGCATTGCCCTTCTCCCCGGGTCGTATTGCGGGGTGGCTCTGCTTCGTCCCGCCGACCCGGAACCCCAAGATACGGAGGCATAGTTAAAATAATTCATAATTGTCACCACTCCCGAGGTAAGCTAGGCTGATTTGACCACCGGCCTCCGTTCCGGTTTATACTCTTGACCGGCGAACCTGCTTCTCCCGATGAATGATGATCTCTAAGTAGGCGGTTCTCTGTGATTTGTGATATACATAGTACTTGTTCGAGCATCGAACCTCATCTGAGTTCATTTTGCTACACAATGCAAATTCAGGAACAATCCATCATGCTGAATTCAACGTTCCCAATGCCCTGGCACATTCGAGCATTGACGAGGCTGTATCGAAATCGCACTTGATATTAAATGGCTCCCCGTCAAGATCGGCACCAGCGGTCATCGCCAAGAGATAGCACAAAAAACAATCTTATGGAAAGAGTAAATTACCTTCGCCTCTAAGGTCCAAAACTCCACAACCCCTAACCCAGCAATGAATGATGAAAGCGTCCACCGGGTATCAATGAGCCAGTAGATTCCCAGCGAGGAAACAGTATGCAGGATATAGTTCAGAGATGGAAATGAAACACCCCTGGATCAGAAAATACATAGCTTTCCCGATTGATCCTCTCGCGTCAGCTCATATGACAATATGTCGTGGTTTCGATAGTGCAACATCAGCCGATATCGCCGGGGCATCGCTGGCCCTACACCTCCGACCTTGCCTCCGGCCTCGTCTCCCACCTGGACTGGCCCCATGGCCATTCCGTGCATAGGTCGCAACGTCTTGCGATGTTCCATCTCGTCGGATCCTGTCGGCAGCACCCACTCAACTCGAAATCCGTGCTCCCATGTTCCATCATCGCGCTCCGCAGGGACAGCCTTCCGAGTCAATGTCAAAAGCACGACGCGCCCGGTTGGTGATCCAATAGCCATAAGTGAGAGCTCGGGGGCCAGCGCAATCATGTTGAGCCTACTGGTTGCATGGAAATGTCGCCTTAGCCCAGGGTCGCGAAATCGTCCAAACTTGAGTGCGTCCGAGCAGATAACTCCAAACTCCGTCGGCAACGCCCTGCTCGGGATCGGAGAGAATGAGCGCAACTCTATATCTTTCTCATAGGTTCGCAACAGAAACAGCTTTTTCCCGAGATCTGCCAGATATGCCTCTGGCAACTGAGGATGTCGATTGTACTCAGGAGGTCTCCTCCAATAAGCCATCATCATTTCTGCTTTTCGGGGTGTTCGATAGACCGTATTGCTGTGAGGAAAATATGTCATGTCGAGTTTATGGGGAGCCGTTGCGTCCCCGCTCATAGCATGCTCCACGTCCTTCTTGTTCTTTCCTTGAACTTCAGAGTCCTGTTGCTTGAATGTTGCATCCCAGGCGTAGAGATTGTCAGGAGAACTACTAGGTGACTTGTAAGTGCTCAGGCCTTGCGCTAATTCGTGGGCTTGGAAATAAAAGGAGCTCCAATCTGTGCCCGCGACGATAGCATCCTCCTCTGAATCGACTTCCGAACCATCTTCCGAGTCGCCCTCTTCATCGTGTTCCTCGTCGGTTTCATCCTCAGTGTCCTCGAATTCTTCCTCACCTACATCGCTTCCCAGAAGATCTTCTGCCGGTACAATGAAACCAAGCTGAGGCATATCGGGTTCCCAAGCAAGAGGAATCATTGGACCAGGCTGGTTTAGTGGCCTCAGCATGTTGTGTGGATTATCAGGAATATTAGTTATTGCGCTTCTGACGTTCACCAATGGTTGCTGACAGCCACTGCCTGCTGGAATAACTTCTAGTCGATTGGTGGGCACGCCAAATAGTTCCTCAGCAGTCTTGACCTTGAGAAAATCCCTTTCATCCAGAGCAAATATCCCCCATCCTCTGGATGGGGCAGGATGGAACTCCTCACTTTTCAGTAGATTTGAACATAGTGGTGGAACGACTATCAGACCTCTGTTTCCTTGCCAAATATCTGCCAACCATGCAGTTCCCTTAATGTCGATTGCGCAAATCCGCTGTGCGTGGCCTTGACAATCGTCGACAAAACATATATTTGGGATATTGTCTGCACCGGGAGCCATCCGTATCACGATCCGCCAATTCCGGGTTCGTGTTGGAATCTCTAAATGTGTCGTGCGGGACAAGCTTGCCCTGCGACTCAGGGGGTCTTGTGTTAGAGCCAGGGCAAAGACGACAACCTCATGCCTGTTTGAGCTGACGGCGATCAAGCGAGACTTTCGATGGACAGCTAAGCCCCAAGCTGATATCCCAACATTTTCATGAAAGAATTGTTTCGGAACAGATTTGTGTGGCCTGTCGGTTGTGCCACGGCATTCTATGGCTTGTTTCTCAATTTCCTTGGTGTAATATGCAACCACATCTCCGTCGTCGTAGCACGCGAGGACTATTTCTTCGTCGCCAAGAAACCCTGTGATCATATGGTTGACTGTGTGTGGCCGAGACTCGTCGAGTTGTCCACCGACTAATTGGGCGACAGTACTTGCTTTAGGCTTCAGTTGTAGATTAGGCTGGCTCGGAAGTGCCTGGCTCGGAGCAGCGCGGGGTCTGTAGACGAATATTCGGCCTTGGTAAGCAGAGAAGTAGAGCTGGAATGTGTCGTCAGCATTGCGACTATTAAAAGGAACTGGTATGGTCACACATTGTACACTTGAGAAAGAGCAGTCAGATTGCTCCGAAATTTCTGCATAGATGGTATCAAGCGGTATATTGAAGGCCCGGTGTTTCTCTCATCGTCTGAGTCGTTCCCGGGCCAGGTAAAGGGTAGCTCGGCGCTCTGAGGGTGCATGCCCAAAGTCACCCGCTCGCGATCACGAACTGCGGCTTTGGCGCCATCGCCAAACTGAACGATCGCATCAGCGAAAAGAACATTCTACCCACACGAGCAATACTCACCCGGTCAGTAGCAGTTTGCGCATAGCATTTCCCCACGGATATTGGCTGGAAGTTGCGCTTGTAAGGTTGTTGACTTTCCATCAGCTCTCACACAACTCATGCGCGGGGATGTGAGATGGCCTTTGCCGAGGTGTTGCAGCTTAGCAATTGCATCCAGGTGGCGGATGTATGGATGGGATTGGGTGATACCCTGGGTGCGTAAGGCGACTGATTCGCTTGATTTTCGTGGATGGAATGTGATGCGATATGATTACCGTTCTCATGCAGAAGGCTGAATACCGGTGCTGTTACTGGGGGCTGCGTGATGATGCACAAAATAGCACAACACAGCACTTCCAGCTCGAGCCTAGATAGATCGTCGGTTTGCTTCTCGAAGAGGATGCAAGTGACCTAATCGAGAGTCGCGGGGTGCGGCACGTCGGTCCCCTGTTATCGATAAGCAGCCGACAAAACCTCCACTGTACCTTAAGGTGCTTAGAAGGTGGATGCCGGTTTGCAGTAAGGGGGCGGAGAGTAGTTCAACCCGGCTCTTATAATTCCGAGTGTATTCCGATTTGAAAGATACCTAGTTAATAATTTTAAGATTAGGCCCAGTGTTTATGCTAAAATTTGTTATGATGTTGGTATAGAGCTACCTACTATGTAAATTGCTAAGAGTGGGCGTTTTTTTACTGTTGATGATGATGTCAATTGACTTGGAAATCAGAGTGGAACAGCCTTTTGTAATTGAGTCTAGCAATTGACTTACTAATAAGGCATTACCACTGTAACAAATAAAGTTATTCTTTGTATACCTACACAAAGAACTTTGGAATATGCGCCTGACCATCAAACAAAAAGCCACTTTGTTACTTTTGATTAGGCATAGGATATCTTGCTTCCATGTGAATTTCCAACAACTGATTGCCAATACATCCTGTTCAGATAGAAAGCAATCCCTGAAAAAATGCTATATTATCTACCGATTTTGAAGAAGAAGCAAAGGGTTATATGGCATACATGTTTCTGTAGAGCTAAGAATTCAGTAAAAGATTGATTTCGTCACAATTGTCACTTGTCAAAACGCACACAAACGCCATACCATGATTCCATTTCGCTATAAAAGGTATATCCTCCAAATCCAAATTCGAATCCAAACCAGTAGTACATTCCATTTCATCCCATTGTCGTAAGGTATATCATCATGCTCAAGCCGCCATGAGCTCAAGCATATCCTTCATCCGATAATCAAGCACTGGAGTTTTCCAATCATCTTGCAGTAGTCCATATCTCTCTGTTACATTCCCCTTTGGCTTCCGGGCATTCAGCGCCCAGTATCCAAAATCAGAATCCTTCTCTTGGAGGAAGCGAACCAGGTGCTGCCAGTAGTTGGCGTCACCAACAGACGGCTCCACAGGCGCCCCGATCTCACCAACCCACACAGGGGCAATCTGCTTGTCGAGGATGTATCCCCAGTTATGGTGCATCGTCTTCGCGAATGAGTCGTAGTCTCGCTGAAGAAAACGGCCCTCCCAGCTTCCCCAACCAGACCAAGCGTACACGTGTGCTGAGTATACTAGTCGGTGGGTAACATCCAACAGGATAGGACGTTTGCACACTTTGGACAGATCGTTGGAAGACTCAGTGCCCTCGACTATGACGAGCCAGTCCCTATTCATCTGAAGAAGTCGGTTGCCGCATCTTTCAGCAGCTGACGCCCACTTGGACCACGGCATGGTTCCCCAAAGGCCGCGGATCTCATTCCTCAGATCAACACCAATGACAAGCGGGTTGTTGACGTGTGGTAGCATGATAGTCTCCCAGTGCTGGATCCATTCGTCCTCAGTCTGCCGCACGCGGCAGATGGGGCCCAAGTAATCATTCGACCATCCAGCATCACAAGGGTCCGCGCCGCAACACCAGGTCGCGCTGGTTATGTGGTTGTTCATAATGACAGCGATGCCCGCTTTGGTCAGCGTCTGGACAATAATATGTAAGATGTCCAACGCCCTCAAACCGACCAAGTCGGGGTTTGCACGAAGGTGCTTCTCTTCGATGACTGGATTCTTGATGACCAACTCATCAGCATAAGGTAGCCTCACACTATTGAACCCGAGCTTCTTGATAGTCTTGGCAATATCATCGCGATGTTGGATATCCAAGCCTCCGGCGACAAAAAACTCATCACTGGCACCATACCAGTTCACCGAGGCCAACTTGAAACGACGGCCGTTGACATCTACGATATCTCGACCCCTCGTCCGCAGAGGAAGTGTATAGTTGGTAATTTGAAGATGCTCTGGAGGCGGGGGCAGTGGGTGCTGGCTAAATCGTTCGCTGGCAGCATCAGGGATCCAGCTCCGATGTAATGCGGTCTCGACCTTCCAGCGATATACGTATCCGACCCCAAGGCATAGTAATATGGCAGCGAGGAGAATGGCGCTACTTGGGCTACGTAGACAACTGCATCTCCGTGTTCGTGTCCGGGTCCTGGATCGCTTTTGCGTTGTTGGTTTCTCGAAGTCAACGAATCGAACACGCCGTCTGGTTTTTTTTATCGGTGCCAAGTCTTGGTCCAATTCTTCATCTTCATCTTGATGCTCATTCCCTTCCTTAATGGTACGGTTCTGCTCGATATCCGTCCAGTCGCCCAGTAAGTGGCTCCGTTGTTGAGAGTCGTCCACCGCCGGAGTCGGAGAGCGGGGCCGTGTCCCGCCAAGGATATGCGGCACGCGAAGACCTGACCACATTCTTCCACTTTGAGGCTGAAGTCACGTTTCTGAGCCTTATCGTATTCGGTTATGGGTTTGAAAGCTTCAACTGGAGATATCGATATGTTGAGCTCGATAAAGTGAGGAAACTCTTGATCTCTGGTCGAATGGCCTTCTTGAGGGTCTTCGACGGGCTGATATAACCGATGGTGGTAATGTCTGTATATGAATGGGCATAAAACAAGACTTCAATGGTATTGTTTAAGAGGGGTATCAATCATGTATAGCCTTACGAACAAGGGGGGATCAAAGACAACAAGCTGTACTGGGAGGGCTGTCTCGGAGCTATTTATCATGCCTTGAGCCTTTATGTACCCATGGAGCTCGCTTTTTTTGCATATCAGTCCGATCGCCAAGTTATACTCAGGCCCTCCTCTTCCGGCTCATCCGGAAGAGTACGCAGGGCGTTGTGACTAATAGAGCGTGGTTGATGGAGAGTGGCCATGACACCATGCGACACGGCATTGGGCAGAGACCTCAATTTCGTCATTGGTGAGCTTAAGCTTACTTATTTGACTAATCGGCACGCTTCATCATTCATTCACGTACGGATATAGCGGGTTTCTCATCTTTATAGCTTGACATTATTAAGTAATTGACAGCTTGTATCCCGTATCACCGCTATGAAAATGCCATGATCAGGAGCGTGTCCAACAACCCAGATCAGGGAAGAAGTGAGGTATAGGACGCAGGGCGGTCCTTGGCATCTCCCGTATCGCCGAACTCGAACACGATGATTCGTTCTCGGTACCCGCATAACTCCATTGCAGTGTTCCTGAATCCGCAGCTTCCGATACTTGCCCTGCTTGGGTCCTCATGATTCAGATCAGCTTTTGTCTTTGCCATTCCCAGCTTTTGCCCAGCCAATGTTGGAAACTTGGGGTTGCACTCGGTCTGCAACACTGACATCATGAACCAGCCGACACGCGACATAGTCGTCTTATCTCCGCTCGACCTTGCATATTCCCGCGGCGAAGGACGAATGTCTGAGACAGTGCCATCTATATATGGAGTCACAGACTCATCATTACAATTCCCCCTCTTCCTTTTCTTTTGGTCATGAATCTGGTCGGCTAATTCGTTACATCGACTTTTCTTCAATTGCTGTTCTTCCTTTTGTTTTTCCGTGTCAAATTGCATTAGCGCAAACGCCTCGCTGTCGTATTGATGGGTATTCCCATTTGAAGTTTGCTTAACAAAGTAAATGCAGGTATAGGTGTCAATCTCCTAAACTTGATGTGGATAGGAATTGCGGCGGACGGTCTTCATCGCTCTGCAGCCGTCCGTAATGTTGGGTATCATCCGAGCCGGCGTACGATTTGCCGTTTCCGGGGGTATATATAGATTATATGTGAGTACGTTCATGCATTAGTAGTCTCTTCTGGACTCTTTCGTATGTGCGGCCAGCCCTCATCATGTTCGGTTCATGGCGAGGGGGTTCATCTCTTTGCTATAAGTCGGAATCGGATATGAATCTCCCGTCTCCCGCCCAGTAGGTGGAGGCCTGGGGCTCGAAAACGAACGCGCTGGCGCATGGTAGCGTGCAGTCGAACCGAAGTAATCAGGAGTTCGTCGTCCACTCTCTGGGGACTTCACTGGAGTAATGGGTGTTACTGCCGCGCTCGAATCTCTTGAGAGCATCTCGTACGAACGTGGATGGTTCTTTACGTCGACACGTGCGTCGACCGACACAAATTCCTTCTTGTTCCGAGTGAATGGCATCTTGATCAAGTCAATCCAGCCTTGAACCATGGACCATCTTCCGAGGAAGAGGATCAGCCAGAGACCGTTCAGCTGTGGTTGTCAGCAAATATTTCAATATCGTGATACTGATACAAGACACTTACCGCCAAGAGAAGGAGCACAGCCGTGACAGTCGCTTCGTTGATGACCAGAGAGGATGCCTCGTCCAGACAATGTTCCTTTTTACCCTTTTCTCTGAAGAGACATTCGACGAAAGCACCTGCCTTGGTGGGATCGTCGGCCACAGATTGAACCACATTGTCTTGAAAGACGAAAACGACAGAGAAAAAGATGACATCAGCAATGATGATGAGAACGATGGCAATACCACGCCATTGAAGTGCGATCACTCGACGAACTCGGCGGTAGACCTGTCTTGGGTTCATGGTCTTGATGCTTTGTGTATAAGTGGGCAAGCTAGAGCCCTCGGAGGATGCGCCGTTGTCAGACAATGATGCCAGGTAGACCTTGATACAGTAACCAAAGGTAGCAAAAGTGATAATAACGGTCAGTCCAGCGAAGAGGAGAAGCGGGATCCAAAAGTCGGCCAGACTGTTCTCATGATTGATATGGCATGTAGCACCAAAGCGGAACGAGACACCGCTAAAGACGAGAGCCAGGATGATACCCAGGATAGGAACGCCCCATCCAGCTGCCTGGGCAAAGATCATGAAGTTCTTGCCAACGAGTACTTGCCAGCAAATCTGAAGGTGAAGCGATACAGACCTGAGAAATACCCACATGATACCTGCCCAACCACCAAGAAGGAGAAAGGTACCAGAGGCACCACAGACCTTGCTAGTCTGCATGCTATGCGGAGTGATCGTGTTATAGCATTGCTCTGGTTGGGCTGCAAGAGGAATCACGAAACCCATCTACAA